ACACCGTGCAATATTTTCTTTTTGATATATCCAAAACACCTGCAGCATTTCCAAAATAGGAAATAATTAATTATACTTAATCTCTACCCCACTTTTTATTTTATCTCATCACCCAAATAAAATATATATTTCTCTTTCCATCACATTACCTAATTTCTAAATTATCTTACTTAATACAATTCACCTAAAAATCCGTGCTAAAAAACAAATGTTGCACCTTATTTGGGAGGAAGGAGTATTATTTATTTTATTTTGGCAAAGTATTGAAAGCGAATTAGAGTTTTTCATCTCTTTGTTTACTTTTTCCTATGAATATATATAATATTTCAAATATTTAAAAATATTAATGAATATAGTTATTAGGGGATGGTTACGTTGGTAATTTTTTAAATCAGCACGTTTTTTATATATAAAAATAACACATATTAGTATTACATACAACACACATTAATATTACACACAGTACATGTTGTGTATAATAAAAGTATATGTTGTTTTTTAATAATAACAAGTGTGTCGTATGCAAGTATATATGTCATGTGCTAAAATCAACTGTTGTGTGTTGTATGAGACTATAGCATGTGCTGTTAGTTCATGTATTGTATTTGTATTATATTAACACGTATAATGTATTGTCTGTAGTAATACCGTGTGCTGTCTGTAACAAACAATATACGTTGTGCTCTATTTGTATTATATTAATATATAGTGTACTGTTTATAGTAATATTATGTGATAGTTTAATAACACACGACATGCTATTCAGCATTGTTGCCACCTCGATAGTTATTATCATCAAATAGTGGGATGGAATATCTCGGAAGTCATTTCCTAAAATATTGTGTTTTGTACAATGAAAATTGAGTTTAATTATATTTTCACAAATAATAATAATAATAATAATCGATTTTTGTTTCAATTGTGTCTCGAATAGTAATATATGTATTTTATTTTTTAAATAATAATAATAATAATAATAGTTTGTGTTGTGTGTTAGAAGTAAAATTATTGAATATTGTGGGATGGTAATAAGGGAGGTGACACGTAGATGAAATATAATAATATTTTGAAAAAAAGGCATTGAAAAGTCCACCAAAGACTAATAATAATAATAAAGAATATTGGACACGTTTCCAAAATGCAAAATACAAAATTTGTTTTTTGGTGGGTAAAAGAAGGAGATACGGAGATGGAGCACCACTCAAATTGGACATCCCTAATTAGCTTTGCCCACCCATTCATTTCAACTTACCTACGCACAAATTACAATCTCTCTCTCTCTCTCTCTATATATATATATATATATATATATATATATTTATTTATTAAATATTTCATTATTTTCACTTTTGACTTCTGCACAGCCATTGTTGTTACACATAAAAAAAAAAAAACAAGTTATTTGCTATTGCTGAAGACAGACTCAGACTGCTCACAGACTATACTAAGACTTTCACATGCAACAGTTGTTTATTCGTTTTGTCTTGTCCATTTATCTTATCTATCCAAATATCCACGCAAGACAATTTGATAGAATGAAGATAGTCAAAGAAATGTCAGATTTATATTGAGGATCGCCCCATTCCATTTATGTGCTAAGGAAATTAATTGTTGCTTAATTTACACTAAATTCAGGTTGTTGTATACACAGCATGGGACAACCTCGGTTTAGGGAAAGAGCACATTTGAAAGCTTATCCTTGAGAGAGAAATTATTGTAGAAGCTCTCACTCGAGTCTCTTCTCATCTCTATGTTTTTTACTTGTGTTTGATACACAAAACTCACTGTAGAAGTTGTCGGAGGAAGGAGTTTTCGGAGACCCAAAGGAGATGACAACCAGCTTGTTGGCTGCATTACTCTAGGCTTCTTGTATACATTGGTGTCAGTACGCGTTTGTGACTTCCAGTACCTGTTCATTGAATGCAAGATAAGCTTTTGTGGAGGATATGTGTTAAGTGAGTTTAAGGTTGTTATGTATTATTTTTAGTATTGATTATAGTGGAGTATCTTCTGAATTGAGATCTCTCATATGTAGATTGTTAAAATCAAATTGGGTTAACAATCACTTGGCTCATTTATTGCTTTTCTGCTCAACTATTTATATCGCTGTCAGCGAGTTGTTGCTACTGTGAGTCAATTGCACTTCAAGGGAAATTGGTCCTATTTAAGGTGTTCGAAGAATATTTGTCGATCCACCATTTCCCAACAATATATAATTAACAACAGTATGGCCGCAAATCCTTTGTTGATCCGATCAATTTACTGATTTGATCGAGTTAGTATACGCTATATGAATGACCAATATATGTTTATACATATCTCAGTATATATTGTATTAGAAGATAGCATATATATTGAATTATAATATAATATATATTATATTATAAATATACTGAAATATAAATAAATATATACTGATCACCGTATAGCATACCTTGATCTATGTCCAATTCTATCATTTGCCTCATTTTTCAATATTCTTACATTGTTGCTTTTACTCCACCACAGTAAACCTAGCTAACTAAACCCCATGTTCATATATATATATATATATATATAAAGTAATTAATGGCTCATATTTCATGCAAAATTGTCGTTGCTTTAATCTATAGAGTAAGAGGAAAAAACCCACGGTCATGCTTCAATTCATTGCATAAATTAAATAATTTGAATGTATATATTTAGGATTATATATATATTAGGTAGAAAAGTACGACAAATAATGTCGAAAACACACACATGGTGAGCCTATATTCAACCATTGATTTCGATTGTCCTTTTTAGTGCTTTTTGGATGTTATTTTTAATGAGTAAACTATTTTTTTAGTCTCGTAACTGCACCGCTTATCATTTTAGTCTCGTAAGTGGAACCTGTCGCAAACTAGTTCCATAAGTGAAAAATTTTCGTTTTTTTAGTCCTCCGGCGCCGGGGACGCCCGCATGGCTCGCCGGAAGCCACGTGTCCCGCCAGGTCAGCAACACTTGGCGGACACGTGGATTTTATTTTATTTTTATTCTTTAATTTATTTTAAATTTTATTTGCTTTTTTTTTATTTGATCCAATTAAAAATTAAAAAATAAAAATAAAAAATAAAATCTATGTGTCCGCCAGGTGTCGCTGACGTGGTGGACACATGGCTTCCGGCGAGCCACGCGGGCGTTTCCGGTGCCGGAGGACAAAAACAACAAAAAAAATTTCACTTATGCGACTAGTTTGCGACAGGTTCCACTTACGAGACTAAAATGTTTTGTTTGGTTGTGTTTTCATTCTTACAATAACTTTCATTTTTTTTTTCTCCAAAATAATCATATCATAAATTTTCTAAAAATTAATATATATATATATATATACATGAATAATAATAATCAAAAATTGAATATTTTATTTATAGTCTATAGTGCATAAAAATATATTGACTAAACTACTCTTTAATATATACATATGTATATGGTATTATATTGTTACATAGGAATTATATATTTATTAAGTTTAAAATTCACATATGGATTGTAGATAGCAAAAAAATATTACTCTCTCCGACATACAAATCTGTGCTCATTTGATCGGATACAGGAATTGATAAAAGATAGTAATAATTGTTAATTTTTCTTTTTATAGTAAAAAAAAGTACAAAAATGTAATAATTTTTTACTTAAAAGAGAAACGAGAATAGTTTTCGATGACAACTCAAAAAGAAAAGTGAGCATAGATTTGAATGGCGGAGAGAGTAATATGAACAATGGACAGAGTATTGTTAACATATTATTTTTTATTTAAAATATTATATTAAATACCTATGCGTTATGCAATATTTCAATTCAAAATTTTAATAAAAAAAGCTAGCAAAACAATTCATTGAAAATATTAATAGATTTATCTCTAAGCTAAGTGGAAAACTAAACCAAACCACACATATGTAATTAACTAATTGAAGCAATACAAACCATTTGTATAAAACTGTCCTATTTTAAAAAATATATACTTCATTCGTCTCACATCTCATATTCACGTTCATGTTTCTGTACATCTCACATCTCAGGTTATCTTTATTTTTTAAAAAAATGATTATACATTTGAATCTAATTTCAATTTTTCCATGCAGTCAGAATACCAATATCTTGTTTTCAGAAATATTTTCTATTTTATATATTTTTAAATTCTAATTAAATTAATTAATTAATTTAATCTTAATTTATAATTATTTGTATTATTTTTATTAATATATTTTTAATTATTTACTAATTAAGGGTGTGTTTGTTTTGAGGATTGGATTTTAAATACACTGTTCATCCTATTCTTTCTCCCAAAAATATCAAATCAAACATCTATTTTTCATTTTCTCCCAAAAATATCAAATCAAACATCACATCTAACGCCTGTTTATATCACATCATACAACTATTCAAATTCAAAATTTTTACTATTCAAATCTTAATTCAAAATCCAAAACCCCCCAACAAACACACCCCTCTTTCTAAATTTCTGTAGCTACAGTGTTATATATATATATATATCAATAGAGATAATAAATCACTTAACCAAAAAATAAAATAAAAACAAAAACAAAACAAAACAAAACAAAAACACCAATTGGTTAAAGGCTTAAATTAAACAATAATTCAAGTCAAATATAATAACAATAACATGAAATGAGATAATTAGTATAATAAACCTATCAAAAATTAAACCCAAAACACAACTAATTAATTTATCCAATTCTTGTTTATAAAATTAATGGACTTAAGAAAATTCACACCTAAAAAATTAAATCAATTCTTGTTGATGCAATAAATGGACTTAAGAAAATTCACACCTAAAAGAATTGCTAAAACTAGTGTGCACGATGAGGTGTCACTTAAATAAATTTTAAAATTCTAAAAAACAAAATAAAGAATAAAAATAAACCGACCCCCCCCCTTCCCCCCCCCCCCCCCCCCCCAACAGCTATATAAGGCAGGCTGGAATTCCCCCAATAAGCTCATTATCCAATACATACATACTCAAGTCTCCATCTCTTTCTCTCTCTATCCCTCTCTCACTCTACTTTTTATTACAAAAAAATTACAATGAGTTCTATATTGCCGGAAACTGCCCGAGACATCGAGACTTTGCCCGATGCCTGGGATTACAAGGGCCGGCCCTCCGTGAGATCCACCTCCGGCGGCTGGCTCAGCGCCGCCATGATTCTCGGTACGACGAGAATTAATATAATAATAATAATTATTATTATTATTAGTATATATATCATATCAAATAATTATTTTAATTTTCTTTTTTTATTGAATTTAGTGAATTTTTTTTAATGGAGTAGGGGTGGAGGGGTGCGAGAGGCTGACGACACTCGGAATTGCGGTGAATCTGGTGACGTATTTGACGGGAACGATGCATTTGGGCAATGCAACCGCCGCTAATAATGTCACCAATTTCCTCGGCACTTCTTTCATGCTCTGTCTCCTCGGCGGATTCGTCGCCGACACTTTTCTCGGCAGGTAAAATCATAATTTAATCATTTATTTTATTACTGTAAATTCTAACCATAGGTTAGTTTTTAACCATGGTTAGATAGGTAACTTTTGCCTTCGTTTTTTATCCTATTTTGCTTATTGGTATTTATCTCTAATATTTTCAGATACCTCACTATTGGTATCTTCGCCGCTGTTCAGGCCACGGTAAGAACACACTCATATACATATATATATATATATATTTATTATATATATCTTTTGGCTTTATTTAGCATTGGATTTGTAACTATGATTATCCTTGATTTTGTCACGAAGGGTTTATTCTCTTTGATTTTGTTTTTTTAACTATACAATATCACCAATTTTTTTTCCAAATATTATAACATCGAAGGATCATATTTAATAATTTCTTTAATATTTTATAAAAATAAAAAATAAAAAATTATAAAGTTATACGGTAACAAAAAAAAAATGTGTAATTTCTATCAATATTTGTGAAGATGAGAATCGAGAGTGTTGAATGTAATATTGGTAGATGTTAATATAAAATAATATTAACAATAATAATAATAAATGAATATTATGGTAATTTGTTCGTGAATATCGATTTTTGGGTTTGAATTTTTTAATAATAAAAAATTCAATTTGAATAGTTTTTTTTGATGTAATATAAATATACTTTGATATAATATTTTGAATGTAAAATAAATTTGTAGTATAATTACTCTTTGGTCAGCCTCTAACGTCACATTTACATTTTGTATAATGTTTTTTTTGGAAAGATATCATTCTATATTATAATACACAATGGAAGTATTTTTATAATTTTATATATATAAAAATAATAATAATTATTTGATTTAATATTTTTTTAGAAAAAAAAATCTAAATAGTAAAAATATGTGAAAAATGCAGGGGGTGACTATCCTGACAATCTCGACGATAATTCCGGGGCTCCGGCCGCCGAAGTGTCCGGCGAACAGTCCGGCGGCGTGCATTCCGGCGAGCGGCAAGCAGTTGATGGTCCTCTACTTAGGTCTTTACCTGACGGCGCTCGGCACCGGCGGCCTGAAATCGAGCGTCTCCGGCTTCGGCTCCGACCAGTTCGACGAGTCCGACGCCGGCGAGAAGAAGAAGATGGTGAAATTCTTCCACTGGTTCTTCTTCTTCATCAACATCGGCTCCCTCGGCGCCGTCACCGTCCTCGTCTACATTCAGGATAACGTCGGCCGCCAATGGGGCTACGGAATCTGCGCCTGCGCCATCGTCGCCGGCCTGGCGGCGTTCCTTGCCGGCACGCGCCGCTACCGCTTCAAGAAGCTCGTCGGCAGCCCGCTCAGGCAGATCGCCGCCGTCTACGTGGCGGCATGGAGGAAGCGCCGCCTCGACGCGCCGTCGGATTCCGCCATGTTTTATGATATTGACGATATCGTCGTCGGCGGTGACGGCCGGAGTAAGAAGAGGAAGCAGCGGTTGCCTCACAGCAAGGAGTTCCGGTAAGTGAATTTTATTTTTATTTTAATTGATTGATTGATTTATTATTATTATTATTATTATTATTATCCTTATTATAATTTTATACAATTATTTAAAAGTAATTTAAAATTTTATTTACCTTAGGTATTTTGATTTTACTAGGCTTTGCTCTTTCTAAATTTTTTTTACACCTTTTTCCAAAAAAAAACAATACACTGTACATTCATTATTTTTACATTTTCTACCCGATTTTGTATGTCTTACATTAAAAAAAAAAATTCTTTTTCAACAATCTCACAAAACAAAAAGACTCTATTATAGGTTCCCATTATCTGATAATCAAAATATCGGCGATAAATGTTACATTATTTTCGATCATTTTCAAAATAAAAGAATGATAATAGAATCATAAACACTATATATATTTTATAATATTTTTCATTATTTTTATTGTTAAATATTTCATTTTTTCTTATAAAAAAAACATAGCATCTAGCTAGTTATGTATTTCAATTTTTCTTAAAAGAACAAACCCTTATAGTTGCATGCAAAATTAACCTTTTATTTATTTTTATTTTTTTATCTTACAACCTAAGTTTTCTGTTTACTTATATTTTCATAATTACTTTCATATTATATAAAACATAGTGTTTTTTTCATCTAAAATATTAATATATATATATATGTATTATTAAAAAACATGATATCCCATCCTTATAGATGTCACGTGAAATACTTATATTCTATTCAATTTTTTTTACTATTTTAAAACTAGCATAGCCAATTAAACTTCAAAAACATATCAAAATATCTAAATGAAACCCTAATTATTTTGGTATAAAAAATATGAAATAATTGCAAAAATGTGCATGCATGTAGATGTAGGTGTAGCAAATCAATATCAATGATTGATCAAGTTGAGATATATATATATATATATAGTAATCTATTTTGGTCATATATATATATATTGTGGAATTATTTGGGTATGAAATGGACCAATGGTCCAACATGAAAGCTCATTTTATTTGGAAACTTGTGGCCCACCTCACCTCATGCCAAATTTACAAAATATATATATATATATATATATTACATATATCAACAAGTTTTTGAAATATTTACTATTACTATTTATTTGTCACAAAATTGAATGTTTTGGACAAAAACAATAGACAAGTCGCCTACCTTACTTGTCTCTTGCACATCTTTCTTGTTCAAGAAATTTAACGTGGGCCTATATATATGTGAATGGAATATTCTCCAATTCAAGAAATATAAATTAATTAATAAATAAATAAATGAATCTTTATTTACTTTTTGTAAAAAATATATATATATATATATGTATGTATGTATGTATGTATTTGGAAAATGGTGTCAAGATATGGCCTCACTTGCTTGATTAGTAATAATAATTTAAATTTTTGATTAAATTAGACAATAATTGAGGAAATAGTCAACTTTTGGATATTCATACATATATACATATTCATGCATTTCTAAAGAATGGAATCGTGATTAGTAAGTTGTAACTATATATATATATATATATATACCATCACACTACAAATAAAATAGTATATCTGTAACAGAATTTCGTCCCTAAAGTTCACATAGCTAATACAATTTCATTCATAATTTCGTCTCTAATATCATTAATAGCGAAAAAAATAAATTTAGAAACGAAAAAACTGTTACAAAAATGATATTTTCTGTGTCAACAAGGGAATCTTGCTCATAGGATATCATGCATTTATTAATTCTTCAAATTAATCTTTGAGTATGCATATTTTCTCACCTTTTTTTTTCTTTTTATCATGAAATTCATAATTATGTTAAATTTTATATTTAGATAATATTTAATTTGATATTTTGAATAGAAAATTAACTATTTTTATAACTTATTGAATAAAAAATAGTATTAAGTTCAATACATTAGACCTATATATAAATATAAAAAATTATGTCCGTTTTACAAAAATATTCACACTTTTTAAACTTTATATTAAATATTTTTTTTTAAAAGTAAAATAGTTATTTAAAATAGTATTTTCAAAAGAGAAAAACTAAGGGTGTCGTTTGTTCGTGGGTTTGAGTTTTTTAATAGTAAAAAAATGAATTTGAATTGTTATTTGATGTGATATAAATCTTTGTTGATTTAATGTTATGAATGTAATATTGTAGTATAATATAAAAAATGAAAAATAATTGTTTAATTTAATATTTTTTAAAGAAAAAAAGAATCTGATTAGTAAAATCCTATACTAAAATCCACAAAATAACACAACCTAACTATTTTTTTCTCTCATACTTAAGGTTTTTGGACAAAGCCGCGATAAAGGACCCCCGATCATCGTCGCCGGCGAACAAGTGGAGCCTCTCAACTCTAACCGACGTCGAAGAAGTGAAACTCGTAATCCGGATGCTTCCGACATGGGCGACCACAATAATGTTCTGGACCGTATACGCGCAAATGACGACGTTCTCAGTGTCACAAGCCACCACGATGGATCGCCACATCGGGAAATCCTTCGAGATCCCGGCGGCGTCCCTAACCGTTTTCTTCATCGGTAGCATTCTCCTCACCGTCCCGTTCTACGACCGCGTCATCGTCCCCGTTTGCAAGCGCTACTTCAACAAATCCCACGGGCTCAGCCCACTAACCCGTATAACCGTCGGGCTCGTCCTCTCGATCCTCGCGATGATCGCCGCCGCGCTCACAGAGATCAAGCGGCTCCGCGTGGCCCAAGAACACGGTAGGGCCCACGACCCCTCGGCCACCGTGCCGATCACCGTTTTCGCCCTAACCCCGCAATTCATCCTCGTCGGGGCGGGCGAGGCGTTCACATACATGGGTCAACTCGACTTCTTCCTCCGCGAGTGCCCTAAGGGGATGAAGACGATGAGCACCGGGTTGTTCTTGAGCACGCTATCGTTAGGGTTTTTCTTGAGCTCGATTCTCGTGACGGTCGTTCACAAGTTCACTGTCCACAAACCCTGGCTAGCTGATAATCTTAACGAGGGCCGGCTTTACGACTTCTATTGGCTTTTGGCGATCCTTAGCGTCTTCAATCTCGCGATATTCTTGTTTTGTGCACGAACTTATGTCTATAAGGAGAAGAGGATGGCCATGGAGGGCATCGAAATGGACGAGGCCGACGAGCCTGTCTGCCATTAATATATATTTGAAAAATGTATGAACATCGATCGGCTGAGGTTGGTTTTTTTTTTTTTTTTTTTTTTTTTTTTTTTTTTTTTTTTGTATAAAGGAAATGTGGAAAAAGAGTCACGTGGATGAAGAAAATGACTCTCTTAATTTTAATTTTTTTTTTTTTTTTTTTTTTTTTTTTTTTGGTATTGTGACATAAAATGGATGGCCTAAATAACGACGGAAGTCGTTTGGCTAATAAGCATGATTTTTGTTGCGCTACTTTTGTATAATATATTTAGGCTCTTTTTTTTTATTTTTTTTTTCCTTTATGTTTTAATTTTATTTTTTCCGTTTTGTTATATTTTGAGAATTTTTCAGTTATATTATTAATAATACAATCAAATGTTATTTATAGATTTTGGGTAAAAGTAGTTTAATAATAACATTCTAATCTAAATAATAATAGTAAGATATATTAAATATTCAAACAAAAAAAATTTCAAATCGAATCAAAAGAAACATACCATAAGGTTTAAGGCCTAAATCCTAAAATCCTATTGAAGTTTTTGTTTTTTTAACAAAAAATAAAAAATCAAGTTTCGATCATTTATTTTTTATTGAAATAGTATTATTTTTTCTTGCAAAATATTTGAATCAGAATTTAAATTCAAAACAAAATTAAACAAATCATAATATATTTTTTACTATTCTAATTTTTTTTTTTCAAATTTTCAAAAAAAACAACTTATATATTTTTGTGTAGTTGAACGTGAATTTAATGGTTTATACACGTTAATAAATACTTTATATTTTGAATATACATCAATCTATGTATTTTTTTTTTACAATATATTTTTTCATATCAATCATATATCTTTTGTTTTAAAATAATAACAAGGAATGCCGAAAGAAGGAGGCATACGATGTCATCTCGGGCAGCAACGCTTCCTTTTCTATATACACTAGGAGGGCATTGGTATAGAGAATGAAATTGCAGAGAAATAATAGTAGAGAATAAAATTAGAGAGAAATGGAATTGAGTAGAGAATGAAAATTAATTCTCTTGTTTGATAAAACAGAAAATTCATTTGAGAAATCTAAAAAGAAATGCAGATATATGAATGAGCAAACAAAAATAAATGATTAACCCGATAAAAAGAGAGTTTTAACGAATGATAATTCATGAAAAATATTTTTGGTAAATTTTTTTTAAAAAAATTATAAATTATATACGATGTTTTTTAAGATTATATTTTAGTACAATTTCTTAAAATATCGTAAAAATTAAATACTTTGAAAATAAATTAAGCTTATTTTTTGTAAAATTAAAATAATATAATTTTAAAAAAATTATAAAAATTAAATAGTACAAAAAAAAATTAAAATGAAAAAAATATATATATACTCAACATCATTTCTCTCCATTTCTCTGCATATGAGAGGGAAATGAAAACAGAAAAATGAAATGATTTATTTCTCAAGTTCCATTTCTCTGACTCAAACAAACAAGAGAAATGATATCATTTTTATTTCTCTGGCCTCATTTCTCTGACTCAAACAAACAAGTTCATTTCTCTGACTTCATTTCTCTGTACCAAACACAACCTAGGAGAAATGTTTGTTCGATTCATTTTGTGGCGTAATTTTATTAGTGGGATTGGTGTTGTAGGGGACTGAGGAATCGATGCCGTGTTGGACCTAATATAAATAGATGTTTGATTTTATGTTAGGGGAATGTGAATAGTGGGAGTTGGAGCAACCCCGTTTGTTTGGGTTTTTATTAAATCTACTAACTATTTTTCAGTTAAAAATATATTACCTCCGTCTAACTCTAAGGGTTTCATTTACTTTTTGCGTGTTGATCAATCAATGAAAAATGACAAAAGTACTTCTATTAGTATTTTATAATACTATTGTAATAACATTTGTATAAAAAAATATACAAATATAAAGATATTTTTAATATTAAGTACAAAGAAGCAAAAGATAAATAAGACCCTTAGAGTCGGACGGAAAGAGTATATGATCTTCATTTGGTGTTTTGTGTGTTTGTGTTTTGTTTTTTGTTTCTTTTGGATAAAATAGTTCATTTTTATAGTGTAGATGTAAACTTGATATATATATTTATTTTAAAAAATTTGGAAAAAAAAAAAACTAAAAATCCATAATACATTCTAAATTGTCCATGTCGCTTATTTGGCCGAGTTGACATAAGATAATAAGCGACATTGTTTCGAATTCTGAACATCTATTTGGAGTTTGATTATCCCACATTGTCATGCTTGGAATTAGATTCGAGATCACCTAATTCAACGCAAGTACTAGATAAGACAAAATTAGTATCATCATCTATGAATTTTGCTTAGTCAAATGTAGTTATGCAAAGTAAAATATGTGAAAATGATTTTTTTTTTTGTCTCTCACTGGATACATTGGCTTTTCTTTTAGTATTTTATGTCGAGACTTTAGAACTCTAAAAGCCTTTTTCAATACAATTTCTTAACAATGAATGATAGTAATGGAATGTTTCACAATATTCCTATGGATCATTTTCACGAATTTATGATTGATTGATGGCACTATCTTTGAGTATATAGTCAAAAATTACTTATTTTTGGATAATTTGTCTACCAAATAATATTTTCCTAAGAATACAATAATATTATTGTATAATAAAATAATTATTTTTAAATTAATATTTAAAATATAAAAAATTACCTATGGGAGGTTTTGGAAAGTTTAATATAGGATTATCAATAGTGTAAAATTTTATGTGCACCATGTATGAATTCCTCCCATCCGGTCAAAATGTAAAGTTAATAATAAGTCGAAATTGCATATGGCAAGAACATTAATATTTGTGGTGTATTTCTTTTTGTGGAAAAACCTACACACATTTCCCTAAAACTATAAATACATTATACATACTCGATATTTTTATATTAACTACACAATTTCTTATACCTTACATAAAAAAATATCATTTTAAACCAAAATACAAAACAAACAAACTTCATTGGTGTTTCTTTTCGTTCTTTATATCATAATTGTATTTGTTTTGAAACAACCGCGGTGATTGTTCTTGTGTTGTTAATAGCTCCGATACAATCCTAACAATATATAAAAAGTTTGGAAATGAATTTGAAAATTAGCTAAAGCAAAACTTTGAAGAAGAAACTAAAAGAACCATGTATGGCTTGTAGTGAGGGTTGTTAATGGTATACGATAGCATTTCGTTGAATTTAGGATCTCCTAGTTATCTATATATATATATATATATATATATATATAAAAAGAGATTGGTGTGGATTCACTTCACTAAAAAAATTTTGTCATTTTTTTTTATTTTTTTTAATTATTTAATTATTTAATAAAATAAATATATATTAAATGTTATTAAATATATTATAATTAATAAAATTATAATTAATATATTTTTAAAGATAATAAGAAAATTTATTTAATTTTATGATTAAAGTAAATTATAATATAATTTTATTTTCATTTATACCCCTATAAAATTTAATAATTTTGGAATTTAATTTTCATCATTTTTATAATTAATGCTAATTTGATTAATAATCAGTAAAATTAAAAATAAATCATTATATTTTCTAATCCTAATATATATATCTCTATAAATGTCAGTAAATTTTATAATTTTATAAAAAAAAAAATTTATATATTTAAAGAGGTTTTAAATGCTAGGGATAGTCTTTCAAAGAATATATTAAAAAATGAAAAACATTATAAAATTTTAAGACTTAGTAACTTTTATAGAGATATATATATATTAAGATTAGAAAATATAATGATTTATTTTTAATTTTATTTATTATTAATCTAATTAGCATTAATTATAAAAATGATGAAAATTAAATTTCAAGATTATTAAAAATTTTTATTACTTTTAAATAGGGGTATAAATAGAAATAAAATTATATTATAATTTACTTTAATCATAAAATTAAATAAATTTTTTTATTATCTTTAAAATGTATTAATTATAATATTATTAATTATGATATACTTAATAGTATTTAATACATATTTATTTTATTACAAAAATCAAATTGTTAAAAAAAATGACACAAACAATTTGGTAGAGTAAATTCCACATCGATCTCTTTTATATATTATATAGATAGATAATAATGAGATATTGAAACAATTCTATTTTCTTTACAATTTCAATAATTTATGTAATACTAATATTTTAATTATAAAAAATCTTGCAAATAAATAAATATTGTTGTCAGAAACTATTCACATAAACAACACATGATTAATAGGAAGTGTCAATATTTATTATTTTTTTCTTGACCTAAGGATCATATATAATGAATCTAAAATATACTCCCTCCGTATCAAATCTGTGCTCAAATACTTATATATGAATTTGAATAAAAGTAAATAATAATAATAATTTTTTATCTTTTATTGTAAAAAATAAAAAATGAAAGTACAAAAACGTAATATTCCCTTCGGACTATTGAATTGCACGTAAATTTTTTAATATTAGTATTATATTTGATTATAATAAAAAAGACAAAACTACCCCTATAGATGGTGTAATAGAAAATGAATGACATTGTAAGTTGAAAAAATATTTATTATATTAGGTAGATAATACAATTACTAAATTAAAAAATAGTAATCTTGTGTTGGGGGGACGGACAGAAACAGAAAATAACAATATTTTCAATGGGACGAAGAGAGTATACTTTTCTACTTAAAAAAACTAGAATACTATGATAATCCAAGAAAATATGAACATAGATCTGAATGACTTTGATATAGGATTTGCAGTGTAATAAGTCCATTTATGGACAATCCTTCCTTGATATAGGAATCAAATTTGTGGCACAATAACAACAACAAAAAATAAATAAATATAGTCCCGTAAGGGATGGTGGTGTGCGAAATGAATTTGGAATCATAGTCTGACCTCAATTCCAAAAAAACTCTAACTCCAAAAATGTACAAAATTTTTAATAATATTTAGGCTATATGACATTATTGTTTAGTCGAACCCGAGAACTTTGAAGAAGCATTCAAAGAAGAGCCATGTATAAAAAAGCCAAGGAAATGTAGATTCAAGTGATCGAGAAAAACAAAACTTAAGGACTCAAACTCAAGAAAGTACAATTTTTTTAATAATATTTATGTTATATGAAATTATTTTTTAGTCGGACCTGAGAATTTTGAAGAAGCATTCAAAGAAGAACCATGGATAAAAGCCATGGAAACGCAGATTCAAGTGATCGAGAAAAACCAAACTTAAAAACTTGCTGATAGGCCAGCAAATAAAGACGACATCGGAGTCAAGCGGATTTACAAAGTCAAACATAATACTTATAGGTCAGTTCAACAAGACAAGGCTAGACTCGGTACCAAAAGATATTCACCACATGGAAAAATTGATTTGAAACAACATCACACTTATCACAAGCAAAGGAAGGATACTTTTACCTACTTGATGTAAAGTCCGCATTCTTGAATGGCTCCGTATCCAAAGGAATATACGCTGATCCATCAAAGGCAAGTAAGACAAGGTGTATCGATTAAAAATAGCATTGTGTGGCCTAAAGCAGGCACCTCGATCGTGGTACAACGAAATAAATGGTTACTTTATCTAAAGTGGAATCCTGAAAATCAAGAATGAACCAGTACTGTACACTAAGCATCAAGGTACCGATACTCTCATTGTTACCTTTTCTTTCGATGACAGGATCCTCATAGGCGGAAGTGAAATGATTGAAGAATTCTATGGCTCAAAAAAAATGGGTGACATAGGATTGCTTTGATAATTTTTGGGAATGGAAATCTAAGAGATAGTATTTGTAAAAATAATTATGCACAAAAGATTCCGAAGAAGCTCAAGATGTTTGGATGCCATTCTATCTCTACACTAATAATTATGGATGAGAGTATAATAAATCTATAGCCAACATTAGATTAAGAGTATAATAAATCTTATTATGTTATTCCCCTATTTCACATTTGTGTATATATATATATATATATAGCCTCTCTTACTATAGCTAATACATTTTTTGTTGTACATATATAATATGCATGTAACTTGTGGAAATACACAGCCTTAAAGTTTTCCTATTCACAAAATAAGAAAATCCAAAACATATCTACACAAATAAATTTGGTACCTTTTTATCCTTCCAATGTTCGGATCACAAAAGGCATAATCGGGCGAGTGTTAGGCGAGAGTTGTATGCATAACAACGCAACCTGAATGCATCTTTCAACTTCTTTCACTGTAAATTTACATAAATTTGCCGTGCATATCATGAGTATTTGGCTAGTAGAATATAAATGAAATGAGAGTATTTAGGTGGGACAATTCTAAATAAAAATGAGATAATATAATAGGCGGAACGTAGGGAGAGAGTATATATAATTATTCATGTGTTTTTTTATGAATATATTTTTTATATTAGGTATGGAGAATTATGTAGTAATATAACAAATTATATTTTGTACTGAATTTTTAAACTTTTTTTGGGCGAATAGAGTATATATTATATATATTGTGTTAATATGTATATATTGTATATTTTGAATAAATTGGGTGAACAAACTCATTGTTGTTGTTGCTGAAAATTAGTTTTTTGAATAGTCTACATGGATTCGATACTGTCAAAATTGTTGCGTATGCTTTTACTATGTGTTGAATACCATAACTATTACTATTATTGTTATTAAGGATGGATGGAGTTGAGTGTTGCTAGTTCTATGTGCAGAAGAACAAAGAAGCAAAGGCATAATGATAAGTATAAAGAATTAAGTAAATATGTAGTTACAAAGTTAAAAAGGAGTACCATAATTTGCCATGTCGGAGTGTTCTTTGTCGCCGCATTAGTAATTAGTAAGGATCCCAGAAGGATGCAAGTGGAAGATCCCATACTTCTTCATATCCTTCCAACATTCGGAGCACAGAAAGCATATTTGGGCGAGTGTTAGGCGAGATTTGTATGCATAACAGCGCAACCTGAATGCATCTTTTAACTTCTTCCCCTGTAAATTCATCCCTAAGTGATTCATCCACCAATTCTAATTCCCTGCATTCATTCCACAGCCTCTGAGCCTGAAAATCCACCAAATTATATAAACATCTATGCTTCACACATAGTAACAAATTGAAAATTACAACAAACAAAACAACGAGTGCACACAATTATAGCAATCTAGGCTTGGTTTACTTTTGATTTTGAACTTATTTTTTGCACTATTAATCAATAGTTAGTTTTTTTCAAAAAAAGTCACTATCAAATACCTAATTCTCTTTTAAAATATTACATAAAAAACTAAGGGCTTATTTACTAGGAATTTGATTTTGTGTTTTAATGTGAAAAGTAGTTTGGATGTGAGGTATATAGGAAAAATAACTGAAACAAAACTATAGGTAAACAAAGTCGTGTTCTATATTCAAAACTTCACCTCCAACGTAACATCAAACACCTATTTTTTATTCTAACGTTTTACAAAAAATATATCAAAGCAACACCCCCCCCCCTTCCGGTTACTTGACAGAAAGTTCATAATAAAATGTAACTCTATATTGTGTGTATGCAAGTTTGTGTGTGCTCGTGTTCATCGCTTACATCCTGTACAAGAATCATAGGTTCGATATCAGATGAACTGCTGCCATATCTTGTGTTAAATCTTCTTCCGGCTACAATCTCCAGGACGACGATACCAAAGTTGTACACATCTGTTTTGTCAGACACCTTCCCATGGACATAGGAATATGGACACAGATAACCACTAAACAAGCACACAAATACAAGAATTATTGCAGATAAAAAAGAATGTAAGAAGCATTGAGGAATTTATCAGATACGTACAAGGTCCCATATACTCTGGTTGTCAACTCAGATTCGTATTCTTCAACAATCTTTGCAAACGAATTATCAGAAATTTTAGGATTCAGAGCAGCATCCAACAAAATGTTTCCAAGATTGAGATCAATGCAGATGATATATAGTCCACAACCTTGATGAAGATATACTATAGTCCTTGAGCAATCCCCATTATTATGTTGAAGCGAACAGCCCACGAAAGGCATGGATAAAGTTCTTGTTGTGGATGACCAATGAGTAAACGTTAGCTCATCTCAGTTTTAACCTTGATATAAATTAGGAGATAAAATCAGAAAGCTGAGACCAGATATAGAAAATTGACACTAACCTATATAAAGATCCATACTTCTGTTTTCTATGTATTCATATATAATTAGTTTTTCTTCTTCACAATAGCCGAGTAGCTTAATGATGTTTTTATGTTGGAGACGAGAAAGCAAATGAATCTCATTATTAAACTTCTCATATCCTTCCGAAGAAGATCCTGAATACCATTTAACTGCAATCTTCTGTCCTGTAGACAAGACTCCCTATAGAAGACAAACAACAAATATGATATAGAGGAAAAGGTTTTGGACAAACAGCCACTTTGTCGTATATTTAAGGGAGAGTATTACCTTGTAAAGTGTACTGAAAGCACCCCGCCCAATTTGATTTGATATTGAGAATCCATTGGTGGCTATTGAAATTATATCCCGATCAAACCTGGTTGGCCTACCAATTTCTTCATGAATAAATAATCCAAATGAATCTCACTGTTGTCATGGCGTCGCCATGGCATCCTGGCGCTTTTTGGGGAGCGCCAGGACTCCTCGCCTCGCCATATTAAACAAAGTGACTTGGGTCGGCCTTAGCAAGGCAATGGCGATGCCTCAACAACGCCATGGCACTAGGCAGGCTAGCCAAGAGCCTTGTAGATCTCCAGCCTAGCCCCCAAATTGCATCGACCTCAACCCGCAAATCTTGAACCCGATTCAATCTAACTTGTTACCCTCTCTCTCCCCCGCTCTCCTCTACTCTCTCCTGTTCTAGCCATGGTTGTCCATTGTGTACAACCGCTACATTCCATGGCGTACAACAGCCCTCCTGTACTCTCTCTTCTTATCTTCTTATCCGCTCAGGGGTTATTTTTATTTTTTAAATACTATTATGGTATTATTATTTAGTGCATTAAATTATTATCTATTATTTATTTTACGATTACTATTTTTAATTTGTAAATCATGTAAATCATCTTCTTTAATTTTATTTGTTAGTTACCTTATATTTTCTTAACATAATACTATAAAATTAATTATATAAAATATAATATGTACATATAAGTTATATACACTTACACTGTGATCGCCATATTGTTGCCATGGTGGTATGGTGGTCCACAGGCGCCGCGCCACAAGTCAGGTATCCTGAAGCTCAAGCACTTGAACGAGTTGCACGACAGCTTCAGCCATTGTTGGCCGTTGCTCTGGTTCAGAATAATGTAAGCATCTTTCCACAACTGCTACAAAAGCCTTCACGCTATTTTCTGAGACTTCATTTCTCAGATGTGAAGACACAATTCGATCAACATTCCCTGAATTAATGTTCTCCCGAGCCCACGTGGTCAAAACTCGCTGATTTTCTGGAAGCCTTTGATTGATGGCTAGTCTGCCACACAATATTTCCAACAGCACCACCCCAAAGGAATATACATCACTTTTCTTTGTTAGCCTACCAGTGTATATATAGTGCGGATCAATGTACCCCATAGTGCCCCTAACTGTTTTTAGATTGCTACTGTCGGCATGTTGGGCCAAGCCAAAATCTGAAATTTTTGCTACCAAGTTTTTATCAAGCAAAATGTTCACAGTTTTTACATCACCATGTATAATTCCCAATCTGTCGTGAAGATAGTCCAGTCCACGAGCAATTCCAATGCAGATATTAAGGCGTTGCATCCAGGTGAGAGATGAGTAGTTCTCTTGTGGCACTTTTAGGCGGTCGGCTAGTGTTCCACCAGCCATATAATCATAAACAAGAATCATTTCTCTATCTTCTTCACAATAACCAATTAAAGAAACCAGATTATCGTGTCGAAGCTCAGAAAGAGTTTTGATTCCAATGGAAAACTCATGTGCACCTTCACTGGAGTGTGGTTTCATCCTCTTTATTGCAACAATAGTTCTCCCATTATCAATCATCCCTTTGTACACTTGACCACACCCACCCTCTCCAATCAATAACTTGTGGCTAAAGTTTCTTGTGGCTGATTCGATCTCAGATAGTGAAAAACGACGAGATAGTTGTTTTTCATTGCTCTGTGGTTCACTCTGCGTTTCACTCTGTGATTCACTCTGTTGATTACTCTGTGGTTCCCTGACTACAATTACCAAAGAAAAAACTACTACCACAAGACTTGTAATAACATACCAATAAACATAAGGCAAGTGTGGTGCATCATGATCTGGAGGCAACGGATTAGGACTGGCAAGAATGACACCATTGTTGCTCAGCTTAAATACTTCAAATCCATCAACAAGTCCATTCCCATCAACGAATTCATCGTACAGATGCAGACTAATTACAAGATCACATATACTCTGCTTTTTATGCCCTCTCGTCACTGCCAGATAGTCCACATACTTTGGAATGTTCTTCCCATCCCTTTCATTCATAATGTCAACATTACTATGAACAATCTTTTCATTAATCAGGACATCAAACATCAAATCATCATATTCCATGATTTTGAGAGCTATCCCAGAGAAATGAAGCCTCACAAAGTACCTGAATCCCACATCAACCGGTACTCTCCAGGTGCTGTTTTTAACTACGCTGAGCTTCTGACTTACCCACACAGGATATGTGTGATCAAAACCATCAATAGATGGATCATTAATCTGCCTAACACTTAGTCTATGGATTAATTCTAGAGCAGTGTTGTAATCAACAGACACCTTAGACTTCTGACCAACGACTTGGACGCCATTATCGTCATCACCAAAATAAGAAAAACTGGAGGGCACAGAAATAATCTCAATTCCATTTATGAAGGCATATGAATTTAGTAATGGAGAGAAAACTATATCAAATTTTTCATTATCTCCCAAATATAAACAGAATTCCTTCACAATAGAATTCACACCAAGGGCCTGAGCAGCTAATGAAGCGCTGAAATTACGAAGCAGTGTGAAATAACCGACTTCAACACTGAACAAATCCTCAAATCCTTTAGAATCCTTGTACGGAGCAGGAATAAAATGGAATCGAAGAATTTTTTGACCTGGATTCGGTCCAAATGCGTATGAGAATTGGGAACGAGAGATCCTCGCAGTTCTGTAGGGAACTCTATCACTATCATCACCGGAAATCAGCAAATTCTTACGAAGAACAGTTGAAGTGGTTGAAAAACCTTCAATCCGAAGAAGGTAGGGCGAGTTAATGTCAACGTCTCCCAGCCATTGTCGGCCATTGCCTGCCGTCGAATTGCCGGCAGAGCCGCAGTCGATTGAAATATCGCCGGCGAATTCCTCCGCTGGATTGCTGCTGCTGCCGGCGGCGATTGTGCTAAACCAGAGGAATAGCAGAGATGTAAGCATGGTAGCTCCGATATGCGGGAAAGGAAGATGGAGAATCGGCGACGACTTTCGTAATCAAGTGTCGCGAGCATTGCTTCCTCTGGTTCAGACGAATGAACCTTTTCAAAATAATTAAATAAATGTCCAAAGTCAAAATAATCTTTTTTCCTAAATATAATAATGAGTGCATCTAATTGATTTTTAGATTCAAAATTGATGTTTTGAATATAAAATTGATTTTTTAATATAATAAAAAAATAAAAAATAAATATTTAATTTAATATTTTTGAGAAAAAAAAAATTAGATTAGTATAAATCCAATTCCCAAACAAACAAACCCTAATAAGATTCATATTTAAACATTTTACCACACAATTTAACGTTGTAGAAAGTAATATTTTATTAATCAATTCAAAAATATTTTTTTAATTGATATACAGTATTTGTGAATTATTGGTTGAACATATTCTTTATTTCTAACTATTATTAAAACCATATAAAATACTCCTTCATTCTGTCCGATCTAATATAGTCTCATTTATGTTTTATGTGATTATATTTAATGTTAAAAAAATATTATTATAGTTGTATAATTTTATTTTTTATTTTTTGTATAAATAGCATTATAATATTATTACAAGACACTAATAAAAATATTTTTGTTATTTTTTTTATTTGTACTATATTTTAATATTCAAATATCAACACGACAAAAAATAAATAAGATCCTTAGAGCCGTCCATCGGAGGTAGTATGATATTTCAAATTATTCTACTTAAATTTCTTTATTAATTTTCACGTAACGTTTCATTATTAATTTTTTCCTATGAACTTCCCTTTCAAATTACATATTTCTTTCAACTTTAACTTTTATTAAAAAGATTTAAATATCCCTACTAGTTGAAAAAGACTGATATGCCCTTAATATACAAAATTTAAACAAATATAAAAAAAAAAAAATCTCACTGTTTGAATTGTTTTTTCCGCTGAACGATCCCGCGCTGCTGAGGTTAGTTTCGTCAGACTAAGTTTTTGATTTTTCTGGCATCATCATCAATAGGTTATTACTCTCAACATTTGAAATCCTAAATCATTGCTAAGTTTTTATACTATTTATTTTTTTGTTTTTAAATAATTTCTTGGGTAGTGTATTTTAATAGGTTGTTGATTTTTTTACAGTAGAAATGTCAAGTGAATAAAGTATATCTAGTATTTTTCTTGCTTGTAAGAATGACGGAGAGCTATACGTAATATCAAGAGAGTCGGATGCTATATTGGTGGATATTTTTTTGAAACTAGAGCGAAAATGAAGATACATTAATAATAATTTAACGAAACTTCAATATATGGCTCCACTGCAAAAGCTATTTGTCACTTTGGATTGCGACGAAAATGTTGCAAATATGATACGCATGCATTTAGATTTGAAGTTGACGATGGTTGATATGATAATATTATCGAACAACGAGGCAGTTCGTTAAAATTCCAAATATATTATATCTAGTGTGGGTGTCGGCGGCGGCGGGTGGCGGACGGAAACAGACGGCGTGGCGACGGAGGCGGATAGAATCGATCAAAGGTGAAATACAATACAAACAGGGCCGTCCCTGGGCCTGGGCGAAAGGGGCGACCGCCCAGGCCCAATCTAGATTGGGGCCCATTATTTATTTATGTTATGTATAAATTATTTATATATAAAATTATTTGACATTAATGTATTAGTATAAGAATATGACTTGGTGGTTAAGTATTATTAATATTAATAGTATTATTCATATTTTGCACATAAAAAAATTAGGAAATTTATTTTATTTAATTATTTATATTTTATTATAAATAAAAATTTATTATTTATACATATTTATGGGCTCCTAATTTTTTTTAAAATATTGTTAATATTTATACTATTATTGATATTAATAGCAAGGGTTTTATATAGCGTTTGTTAAAATGTAAGGGAGCCTTACGCAATTTTTTAAATTTATGCTAGAAAAAATATTTTTTTAATTTATATTTTATTATTGGTAAAAAATATTATATATATATATTTAAGGGCCTCTAATTTTTATTTCGCCTCGGGCCCTTCGAAAGTCAAGAACGACCCTGAATACAAAATTAACTAGGGTTGATGACAAGAACACAAAGCACATTTTGTGACTTTTGAAATAAATTTGATATTTTTGTAATTTTTTAAATAATAGAAGGATTAAAAAATCATTTCATAGTTATAGGTAATATAAATTTATATTTAGGGGGTTATATCGAAAAATAATCAAAGAGAAAAGTTTTAATGAAATTTTCGTAAGTTTGGATATTTAGGTAGAATTTAACTTCTTTTTGGAAAATCATATCTAGTTTATGATATGAAACAGTTGATAATATAAAATTGCAATTTTTTGGACCCTATTTAATTTTAATTTTGCAGCCTAATTTGATTATTAATATAGATATAAAGTTATTATGAATAAAGAGTATTAAAAAATATGAGACAAATTAATAAAATATTATTTTAAATAAAAATAAATAATTTATTCAAGGAGATAGTTTAAAATATATAAATAATAAATCCTCCATCCAGAAATATATATTTCCTCCTCCCGTAACTATATATCAATTTACTTTTTGAACGATGAATTTTAAATATTAATAGTATTATATATTCATATATAGTACAAATTAAGAAATAAAAATAAAAATACATTTATTAGTATTCTATAATACAAATATAATAACATTTATACAAATATTATATAAATATAAAAATATTTTTAATGTTAAGTAAAGCTAAATGGATACATGTTAAGTGATAGAAGAAGTATTTATTTTTTGTGGTATTTTTTGTATTTAATTTTTTTTTTTCTTGTGTTGTAATTTCTTAAAAAGAGTGTATTTATTTTAGATGATCATTATTTATTCCAATCCAAAGCTTAATATATTTATTATGTATTACTAACATTCGTGCGACTAGAGTCCTATTTACTTTTTAGGTGTTGATATTTAAATGATAATTATTGTATCAAAATGTAGTATAAATGTAAGAAAAAATTGTAAAAATACTTTCATTGGTGTCTTATTATACTAATAGAATGACATTTGTAAAAAAAAAAAATTATACAAATATAAAGATATTTTTACTGTTAAGTACAATGACGCAAACTCTTAGGGACGGACGAAAAGAATATTATAAGTCTGAGATAAAGTAAAATTTAGTATAATAATACTATAATCGAGGGTTGTTAATCATTCTTTTATAAATGATATTAAATAATACTAAGGTATTATTAATATCTAATTTACTATTAATTTTATCCTATAATTAAATGTATTTTCGTCAAAAGTAAGTTTTATACAACAATCAATTAAAATAAATATTAGATATTTTATTGCATGATTATATAATCCATTATAATAATACATATTTTATAATCATATGTTAGAAAGTAAAACTCATCCTAATAATATAAATATGAGAGTATTTATGATCTATATTGTGATAATTTTATTAACAAAATAATAGTCGTGTTTGTTTAGTATTTTAATTTGAAATGTTTTTTTTTTTTTTTAATAGTTCCTTGGTTTTATTTGATTTGTTTATTCTTTTTATTTTTATTCGTCCCACATAATTTGTTATTTTTTTTGAAATATAATTCTACACTTTCATCATATTTTAAAGTTCATAATTCATAATATTTAATATTTTAATTAAAATTTTTAGTCATCTTAATCTTAATCTATAATTATTTTATTAAATCATAATTATTTTTACTAATACATTTTTTAATTATTTACTAATTACACAATATTTAAAATTTCGTGCCCCCAGCTAAAGTGGACAAATTAACTCGGACTGAAGAAGTATAAGGTATAAAAAATCAGTAATATAAATAATGCCCTCTATGTCAACTTTGAAAGTTTACATTTATTTTTTGCATCTTGATTTTTGAATATTAATATTATATCAAAACGTAGTATAAATCAAGTTTATATGAAAAATTATATAAATATGAAATATAAAAATACATTTAATATTCTATATAATGATTCAAAAGGTAAATATAAACTTATTAAGTGGATGAAGAAAATAATATTTTATAAGAAAATTATGTCAAAAAAAATATTTGGATGAAGACACCCATATATATTAATAAATGGAGGGAGCATTATTCTTTTCATCGTAGACGAATGTCATTTTTGGATTTTATAATAAATTAAAAAATAATACTCCCTCCATCCCATTGAATGGTTACCATTTTCTATTTTTGTTCGTCCCAAAATAAGGTTACCATTTCTTAATTTAGTAATTGTACTACCTACTTAACATAATAAATACCCTTTCAACTTACAATATATCACACAAATGTCATTACTTTTATATTACACCATACTAATAGGGATATTTTTGTCTTTTTTACTATAATCTAATATAATACTAATATTAAAAAATTTACGTGCAAAAAGCAAATGCCACACTTGCAACGGGACGGAGGGAGTATTAATATTTTATTTATTAGTAAAAATATATAAGATAATTTTTATATTTTTGTTCTTTGTATTTTATATATATGTGTAATGATATTTTTGTAATTTAGTTCAGAATTAAGGGTATTTTGATTTGACTTATGATTATTTTAATATAATACTACCTTCGTCCGGCTTTAAGAGTTTCATTTACTTTTCGTATGTTGATATTTGAATATTAATTATTATATGAAAACGTAGTACAAATTAAGAGAAAATGACAAAAATACTTTTATTAGGTCTTATAATATTATTATAATAACATTTGCGTAAAAAATTATACAAATATAATGATATTTTTAATGTTAAGTACAATGACACAATAAGGTAAATGAGACCTTTATAGTCGGACGAATGGAGTATAAAATAAAAATTTTGAGAAAATCGAAAAAAAATTATCATCCATGTATACCTAATTATCACTTTTGTCCTTTATTTATTTCAGTGGCAAAATATATTTTACACGCTTGCGAAAGTCGTTATTTCGTGCGTTATGTTCACACGTGCGGTCATGCGCGTTCAGAAGATATAAATGAGTACTTTTGCAAACGTGTATAATATATTTTACCAGTGAAATAAGTAAATAACAAAAGTGATAATTGATATAATTGAAGAATATTCTTTTGTAATTTTCTCGAAATACTTTTGAATGAAATATTAAAAAAAAAAAAAATATTTTCAGTTGGGATGAAAATTATAAAATACTAATCAGCGTGTTCACCCAACAAAATTGATGTGAGATATTAAGTATGAAAAAATATATTACATATATATTAATACAATATACTATTATTTTTTTTATCCACTCATAAAAACTTTTAACATCAAAATTGCACATAATTTAGTTGTAGCTTAAAAAATTAGCATCATACTTCCTCATCATATAAATTGCAGGACGGTAATATTTTAAAAACGTATTACACTAAATCAGTCATTTAATATAAAATATTATTATTTATATATGTACATATATATTATGACGTGAGAATTTACAGTCACTATTCTTTGAATTTTCATGTCAAAAGAAAATAAATAAAATACAAGGTGGATAAATATATATTTTTTATATTAAATATGAAAAGAAATTCAATTGAGAATGATAATGAATTCTTTTGTTTGGTGAAATAAAGAATTCTGTGGATGAATGTAAAAAAATACAATCCACAAAAGAAAGAATATACTATATTGCTAGTTAAAAAAAATAAATAAATCACTAAAAAATGATAAATTAGATAAGAAAAATATTTTTTTATTTTTTAGTTATATTTTTAATTTGATAATTTATTTTAATAATAATTTAGATAAAATAATTTTATGAATTTGAATAATATAAAAATTAAATAATAAAAAATAACAGATAAACACAAATTAAATCATAAAAATTAAATATAAAAATTAAATAATGAAAAATAACAGATAAACACCAATTAAATCATAAAAATTAAATATAAAAAATAAAATAAATAAGCATATAAATAATACTTCATTCTCTCAACTTTATTTTTTATAATTTCTCTGCGTACAAACAGAAAAATAAATTTAAAGAATAAAAAATGATCTATTTTTTCATATGTGAATACACAAAATAGATTCATCGTACCTTTTAACATAGAAAATACAATCATAACCCTCTGTCATATCTCTCTTTCTAACTGTGAGGTGAGCGAGCCGGCCAGCAATGGCGGAAAAGTACACGTCACTGAAAATCGAGCAGAAATCCCCAAATTCACGAGTCTTCTACCTGTACCTCAACCGCCCATCGCGTATCAACGCTCTCTCCCGCGAATTCTTCACCGAATTCCCCGCCGCCCTATCCGCCCTAGACAACAACCCCGATGTCGCCGTCATCATCCTCTCCGGCGCCGGCAGCCACTTCTGCTCCGGCATAGATCTCCAAACGCTCGGATCTATCTCCCAACCAACCTCCATCTCCGACGCCGGACGCACCGGCGAGAAGCTCCGCCGCGACATAAAGTTCCTCCAGAGCGCCGTGACGGCGATCGAGGAGTGCAGGAAGCCGGTCCTCGCCGCCGTCCACGGCGTCTGCATCGGCGGCGGCATCGACCTCATCACCGCCTGCGATGTGAGGTATTGCACGGCGGACGCCTCCTTCTCGGTAAAGGAGGTCGATCTGGCAATCACGGCGGATCTCGGAACTCTCCAGAGGCTTCCGAGCATCGTAGGGTTCGGAAACGCCATGGAATTAGCTCTAACTGCTCGAACGTTTTCCGGCGCGGAGGCGAAGGCCATGGGATTGGTCTCCATGGTTTACAGCAGCAAGGAAACCCTAGAAAAAGCGGTTGCGGAAATCGCCGAGGGTAAAATTCATTCTCAATCTTCTCATATCAATTTAGCAATTTCTGATTACTGTTTCGATCCAATTCGTGCTAACAATTGTTGATGAAAGCTAAAATTAATGTCACATATGGAAGAGTCTTGTTAAATTTGTTCCTGTAAAGTGAAAATTGAGCCTTCTTCCTCCATAGAGTTCTTACCTCAATAGCTTGGCTTCATTTCCAATTACAGATCTCCAATGGCTGTCAATTCAGTTTAGATAATCAGATTAGGCTTATAGGCATTACTTGCACACTACATTGGTGAAATTTACTACTCCCTCTTTCCTGTAAATTTAGAACATTAGGTTTCGCCATGCACGAAATTCAGAAAAATGAATATTTTATTGAAAGAGTGATAAAAGTAAAAAAGTAATTGGAGGTATTTTTGAAAATTTAGTTAGAAATGGAAGAAAATAAGGAGAGAGAATGTAACACAGATAGTGACATTTTGTGTAAATAGTTGTTGAATGGAGGATAATAGTTAAGTGTTATTTATTGACTCTGCAAATTAGCAATGGAGTAAATTTAGCAGACAAATTAAGAAGGGAAGTTACATTAAATTTTGCGGCCGGAGGGATTAATTAGAATGCATGAGTTTTTCGATCTTTTCTAGCGAGTCATGTAGTCGATTTATCCCTCATAGTTTTAAGCATTCATAGGCTCCTCATTCGAAATTCCTCTATTGATGCTTAAGAACAGATAGGCCTGGAAAAAAAATTACCGAAAATGTAGTATGCTGTTCATACCTTAACGAAAAATAATTGAAAATACCGTAATTTTTCTGTATTCCGTAGTGTAACAATATCATATTGAAATTGAAATATATTGTGATGTCAGCATATGCTTAATGTATACAGTGATACCGGTATATTTTCAGCATACCAGTAATTTCTTGATATATGGATCATTTTTGGTATTTTCAATATACTTATTTTTGATAAGATATATCAAAAAATTGGTATGGTATTTTCAATATTTGAATATATGATATTTTCCAGATTAGTATTTTTATTATGATATGCGGTGCATTGTGAAATTTCAAGTATAGTTTACGGTCTCATCCCTATGAACAGAGGCGTCTTGTTAATGTTTTTGACTGAAAGTTCGATATGGAAAGTGTTTGATGACATACAAAGATGAAGAACAATGTTGTGTGTGTGTATATATAAACATATATATATGTACATATTTTGGTTACTTAGGATTCGGTTGTGTACTTCGATTTTAGGTTTTGGTTTGAACAGTAATATGACTAATATCTTGTTAGATGAGATAGTGTATTTTATAAGAAACTGTGATGGTTGTTGCGCAGTAAATAAGGTAAAGCCTAAGATTTTTGTGTCGAATTAGCTTTTTTGGATGTGTTAATTGAACTTTTTACCATGTAACCTCCATAGCTTATGTTTTCGACATGATTTGCCGATCACAAGTTTAGAAATGTTCCGTTGCTAATAAGGTAGCTATTGGGATTTCATAAAGTTTTTGTCTTCATAGATTGTAAAAATATTATAAGTGTTCGCTTGTGGATTTGGATTTTTTTTATTTGGATTTTTGAATAGTAAAAATTTGAAGTTGAATAGTTGTTTGATGTGATGTTTTGAATATAAAATAGATTTTTAGTATAATATAAAAAAAATTAGTTTGATTTGATATTTTTTGAAGGGAAAAAATAATCTGAATAGTAAAAATTTTTAGTAAAACTTTTGTGGTTTTTACTATTCAGTTTTTTTTTTTCCTCAAAAAATATCATATCAAATACTTTTCATTTTGTATATTATACTAAAAATCAATTTTACGATTAAAAATATCACATCAACGTCTATTTATGTCACATCAAACAACTATTCAAATTCAAATCTAAACTATTCAAAAAATCCAAACGCCAAAAATTAAACCCACAAACAAACACACCCTAAATGTTCTGTGCCATTTATTTGAACAAATTGTTTGTAAATGTGTCGAATTAAGCTCGGTTGCTAATGGCAGGCATTGCTTCGAGGTCTCCACTAGCGATCATAGGGACAAAGAGAGTGTTGTTACAAAGCCGGAACTTAACAGTCGAACAAGGTCTGGACTACGTTGCGACATGGAACTCGGGAGTTCTTTTATCGGACGACTTAACCGAAGCAATGTCCGCTCATCAGCAGAAGCGAAAGCCTTTATTTGCTAAGCTTTGACGAAAACAAATTTCCGGGTAAGTTTCTTCTTACGCCAATAAGCTTCCAATAAATTTTCTGTTTCCTTTAGATTCCCTGACTATCTGGCGCGAGTTGTATTATGCCGGATTAGTGTAACTATGTTGTTAGATTCCTAAATAATCTCGCGGTGCCAAATCCGGTGGGCGCGCGATTGTCACTTGCGGCCAAAAGTGCGGCGTGTGCCGGATACAAGGTTAGAATAGTTATGCGAATCGAGCTAATTGAAACCTTCGGTATGTTTTGTGGTAAAACTAGTTGAGCTCGAGCTTGAAAATTTATTTGGAAAGTTACATGGGAGTATGTTATATGTATGGAATATAACTTGATAGTTTATGAAAAGTTAATGGGCTATGTTTGTTTGAAGTTATGGTTTTTTTTTTTTTTTTTTTTTTTTTTTTTTTTTTTTTTTTTTTTTCAATCATACAATTTTTATAATTATATATATTGCATCATGTTCAAATTATTATTTAAATTAATATTTGGAATCAAAATACAAAATTAAAGAAAAATGAATTAAATAAAAATGAGCAATAAATTTATATTTGTTGTGAACTGCACTTATAGTACACATATAGTCGACATAAATGAAACTTGGATGCTTTTATACGTCAGATATTTACTTGCATATGTATATAAACGGGGAGAATGCTTGTAAATGAAATGAAAATCATTCTGCACACGATACATATAATATAATACTCTCTCCGTCTCATAACAAAGTATCCATTTTAGTCCGTTTATAACAAAGTATTCATTTTCTTTTTTAGTAACTGTACCGTATATCTAACATTACAAATATCCTTACAACTTACAATAAATTACACAAATGTTATTACCTTTATATCACACGTACTAATAAGGTTATTTTAGTCATTCATACTTTATTCCTACTATATTTCAATATAATACTAATATTTCTAAAATTACGTGCAAAAAGCAAATGAATATTTAGTTTCGGGACGGAGGGAGTATAATATATCCCCTCCGTTCCAATACAACTATTTTTGCCCGTCTTTTTATTTCCATAAATAACCATATCACTGTATAATTATCTTACTTTTTCATTATTATTACACAATTGTCACTATTTTTTATACTAATATATTTTACAAGGGCAAAAATATCTTTTACCTATATTTTTTTACTCACTAACCGTAGAAATAATTAGTATTTCTATTGGTTATCTCTGCACTATTATACAACAATATTTATTTTTGATTTCATCCAAAATTTTAGCTCGTGCACCTCGAGTTTCAAATTTGCTTTAATCATGAGTTTGTTCCTTAATTATCTATTTATATTTTCTATTTTGATTCGTCTTAAAACAAAATATTCATTTTCTTTAATAACCATAACACATATCTACTATTAAAATCACCGTTCAACTTATACTATATTATGAATTTACCACTACAATACATTTTTAATTCTGAGACACTTTAGTCATTTACCTGCAAAAAGGAAACCTATATATAAATATAGGATGAAGTATAATATTCAAAAAGTATATATTATATGAAATATTTATTTTTTTTATAAAATATTATACCATATAAAATATATATATATATATATATATTATAAACTGTGCCAAAGACTCCATTAGCTTGACTTGATATGCCTGTTTTGTTGGAATTCAATTCAATTTTATTTTATTTTTATTTAAATATAATATTTTATAAAAACAATTGTATATTTTTATGAAAGATCATAATAATTACAAAATAAAAAAATTAAATTAACCTAAAAAAAAATCAATAAGTATCGTATCGAGAACGTATGGAAATTATTTAAGTGTGGGGCATAGCCTCCTCTACAAAATCCATTGTTCTTTAACATTTACCATTCCTTCTCCATTATTTCAAGATCACCAAAACATATCCTCAATCTATAATAACCAACTAAGCTGCTAAAACCATACAACAATTTATAAAAATCCAATTATATATATATATATGTATTTAAAAAAAAAAAGGCAAAGCAATGTACACAAAGCGCAAAGAGAGGGATACGACATACGATTCTCTCTACCAACACAGTTTGTGTTGCTCCAACTCCATAACCGATCACAGCTGAACTTCATCAAGTTCATCTCCAGACGACGATGATCGATACATACCCGACGCCGCATTTCCACTTCCGAGCGCGTCGTGGTGGAAGCTCCCGCTCCACGATGCCACGCGCCGCGACTGTGCCGGAAACATGCCGCCGCTGCCGCCGCCGTTTCTCCCCTGCGTCGGGATGTTGTTCATGCTCGCAAATCTCGGCATTGCCATGGCCGGAGGAGGAGGAGGCGCAGCCGACTGAGTTGGAGAAAAGGCTGAATGACTGCCGCTAGTGTCTTGGGCTGTTTCGAACAAGTGAGTACCAGGAAAGGATGAAAGATTGTCGCTACCGGCGGCGGTCACAGGCGCATCGATTTGACGTTCCGCGGCGGGGACGGGAGTGGGCACGAAGAATTTCGGGTTACCTCCGCCTGCCGCCGGTTTCATGGCCACCGATGGGACAGGGAAGGTATTTGCCGCATTCACAGCGCCTTTGTTGAAGGTGTCGACATACCTGCCAAATCAAAATGCAGTAAAAAATTGTCAATATTATCTCTCGCAAAAACATCACATTAAATACTAAGATTGTGTTGTTTTGTGAGTTTTACAGTATATTTTTTCTATTCAGATTTTTTTTCTCTAAAAAAATATCAAATCAAACAATTACATTTTTTTTTTCCTCCAAAAATATCAAATTAAACAATTACATTCTTTTTTCCGTTAAAAATATCAAATCAAACAATCACTTTTTCTTTTTTATATTATAACACAAATTTACTTTAATTCAAAATATTCATCTATTTATATCACATCAAACAATTATTCAAATTCAACTTCTTACTATTCAAAAACCAAAACTTAAAAACCCAAACCCACAAACAAACACACCCTAATTTTTTACTATTATCATTTATTTTTTCAAAACTCCAAAAATCTGTCCAAACGGAGATGAATATCGACAGAAATAATACTCTGGAGGAATCGAGCAACGAATGATTTGTCTATCGAAGATTTTTTCCTCTGAATATAACAAATGTAAGCTTTAACATACCTAGATCGGACGCCCAACCTTCCCCGGGCTGAATATTGATTGGATGTCGGAGGAAGTGGCGGCATTCCGGAATTATTATCCAAAATATTGCCGCTTTCGGGAATCCCATTGCTAAGAGAAGCCTGGGATTCCAATGCCGTCTTCAAGTTGTACTCGGAATTTCCATTCTGAAAAACTGTGGTTGGGGGTGGGGGAGGAAGGGCCGGTTCCTGAGCTGGAGTTTCCGCGCCTTCCTCTACCCATCTTTTAAGTTTTTCGTCATAATAGAATTTATTCGACTCGCCCAATTTTGCCTAGAAAACAATCAAACATAAGAAACCAGCCGATAATGGGTTTTTCTAACTTTTTAAGTACAAATATCGTTAAACATATGCCGTCAACGAGAAATTTAAATAGATGATACCTGGCGGCCCTGACGGGGTTTGAGCACTAATCCAACAGTCTTTTGAAGTAGTTGAGATCCGAAACCAAAACGGCCAAAACGAGACGTTCCGCCACTGGATGATGCTTTTTCTTGTGTGCCAACTGAATTTGGTTCCTTTATCAAACTAGCATTATCCTAATATAACCATAACGATCGACTAAATTTGTTAAATCACATTTAAGTGAAATAAATGACTAAATAGGAGAAAATAAGAAAAGACGTTCGCGTGGACTAGTAGAGGTAGATTAGAACAAACCTGCCTTGGACTTCTTCCGAAATCGGGTTCTGATACGCTCCTTGTGCGCATTAATTTTCCGTCGGGATCGACTGACGGGTTGCTTATGGGCTCCAATGATTGGGAAGGCACTAATGTCGACATAGCCAGCGTGGACTGACTACTCGACACCCTATTTCCGAGTAATTGATGATTTTCAAAACTCTGTGCATTGATGTCAGGTGTTGGCACTGGTGGAGGCATGCTCCCGACAACTCGGTGGGCCGTACTGTCGAAAAGATTGAGTAATCCCCTAACCAACTTTTTGGGAGCTAAGTTTGTCGAGAATCCTCCCTGCGTAATACATTTTGTTTTATGCATATACAAACAAACAAACAAGAAAGCTATCAAAATCGAGATGTGTCGCTATACCTGTTGATGGGATTTGATTCTTTCTTCGAGTGATGAAGCTAACTGTCGTAGAGCCTCTGTTTCGGGAGTTCGAGCAGTTTTGAGGGATTTAAGAACCACTTGGCAGTATCTGCATTAAAAAATCGACCTGAGAATTAAAACAGAAATCGAGGATAACAAATTTAAAGGATATCAAAGGAGGTTGTGTTAGTACTTCATTGCATCTGATATCTTCCCAACTTCTGCCAACATGTGCGCATATACAAGCTTATACGGTTGAAATGGAAGCAAGACGAACTGAGAATTTCCGAGGGTTTTTGAATACTCGTATATTTCCGTCCTCTGTAAATTTACAAATATAAATCAAGCATCTCCACGAGAACTAAATGGAACATTAGTTGTGTCAACGAAAAACTTTAAATGGAAGTGACACGGATTATCATTAATCGCCGGGCCTATGCCCATGCGATAACACTACCACTCAATAAATATAGTTTATCTAAGTTTCTACATTCTTGAATAGGCATTAAAAATTCACAAAACTTCCCCTGGATGATTAAAATCAGGAGCCATAAAGAAAAAATGAAGCCGAAGCTTAAAGAAACGCAAAGTAATAAAAATTTTTTTTTGAATGATACTAGTTTCCCATCTTCAGCTAATCTTATCCTTTAGTCTTTTCTTAATCTACAAACACCTGTCATTCATATGTGTGTGTAGATATATATATATAATAATCTCGAGTTGTTTTCCCCCTTTATTTTTATGGAGTTTCTGCCAAAACATGCTGCCACACAGTGGAATACAAGTTACCTAAAAGGCAATCAACATATTTAGAACTTGACGTTTCTGTATCTACTAATGCTAAAAATCATGCCCGAGTACGTTATGCAACAAATGTAGAATAAAAAATATCGGTAATTAGCTGTAAAGAAATTAGAACATATTTCTATACTAGGTATTTAAGTATTTATCAAGTGTTTTACATGGAACATCCCATTAAATTACTCCCGAATCTATTCATGGTGGAGAGTTGTAGAGGCGAGGTTACAAGTGTACGACTTTGAGTTGAGTTTCTTCCTGAAAAGAGAAAGAACTAAAAAATATTGTGTTTAAATCCTATAGCAATTTCTTTAAATCTCCCGATACTCAACTTTGAGAAAATTGTTCGGGAAATGACAGTTTCACGGTCATTGTTAGTGTGGTTAGGCATTTATAAACTACGGTGACAACATTTCACGTAATGCTGTAAATTCACTTTTTGAGTTGCTATAACAAAAACTTTTAAAGTGCTAGTTCACAATAAATCAGCTAAACCTGAATAGCCTCTGGACTCGCATATGTACGTGGAAACTTAAAATGGTCAACTCCGAGAAGACACATTCTTGCAGTGTCTGAATATGACTCAAAGCTTGCTTCAGCAATCAAATAGCATATATGTGCAGCAATGATCTGAAATTCAAATAATCATAGATAAAGAATGAAATTGTTAGCAAATAGAGATGGGATCGGAGAATAAAGAGGAAGAACTTCAGACACTTAGTCAGCACTTACATCGCCTCTTTCCCTCCATAAACAATCCCCGAGATGCATGAGGACAAGTTCATCATCCTTAGTTCTGTTTGCAGTTATCACAGCCAAATTCTCCGCCCAATCATCCAGCATCCCATTGGCACCAAACTGCGTTTGGCAAAAGAAACATCGCAAAACAAGCTACTTTAAGCTTCAGGAGTCAGGCAAATTTTTGTATAACAGTCGAAGAACATGCAAACAGAAGGCACTCATACAATTTACAAGAATACGATCTTTATATTTGTAAGGAGATGAGCAAAAGAGAACTAATAACAGCGCATAACATCAACGGATGTATTTAAAATCATACAGTATTCCCTTCATACCTCAAGCGGCTGTGGAGCCATATTCAAAGCACCAGCCATGCTATTGGTAGTTGTGCTATCAACTGAGAAGACATCCGCCGGTTGACCAGCTATGAGCAAGCACAATGTCCTCAAAGGCGCACCCGCTACAAACAACCGATGTGCCATTTGCTTGACAGTTTCCACATAGAACTGAAGCAGAAAATTGTCCAACTTAAACAAACAGTTACGGGTGCCGGAGCAAAACATGTGCAAACTGATGGGGTATCTTATAGCAACAAACCTGGTCACCGAATTGTGCTGCAAGAACAAGGGCAGGACCCCACAATTGACCCTCTTGTGCACGTTGTAATGCCTCTTTCTTTCTTCCAGAAACCAAAAGGGATTGGACCTCAGCAGCAGTGGCCTAAAACATGAAGTGGTGCTTCGTTACAGGTTTAAATAAAATTTATGATCTAAGTGGAAAGACAATATCTACCTGCATCTGACCTCCAGATGGCATCATTTGCTGCAAGCACTTTGCAACGGCATCATGTTGACCATACTGTGAACCACTAATTCTTGCAGATGCAAAAAGCTTAGCAACAGCTGATTCTGGAGCATCATTTTCCTATTGAATCAATAAAAAATACATGACTAAGCCAGATCACTACTCTCACAAACATCGATGACGCAAAGCATTCGCAATAGCATAAAATCAATTGTAAATGAGATGCAACTATAGCCCATTAAATAGTGCAAGGCACCAGCAAGAGTAGCTCATGAACAATTATGTATCTACTAGCCAAAGTCAGACTGAATGACCCCGATCATTCAGATGTCACTAGGCACATGTATTTGAAACCACAAGCTTGGTCATGAGAGCTCGATGTTTAGTACAAATCAGTGAAATGACAGTATCCAAGAGGCCAATGATGACAAGTGAAAACTAGATCAGAAGATATTCATGTAGAAATGAATATTAGGTTTTTGTCAAACTAGACATTTTTGTGCAAAAAATCTCACTAGAAAACCGATAGTACCTCACCAAATCAGTCGGTGATATTGTGTTTTTTTGACTGTGAAGCAAAGGAAAATCATAAACAGAAAAAACAAACTCGCATACAGAAAGTGACAGCAATAAGCATAGAACTCAAGGAGTAATGATAAGAAATGTCAAGTTGTTAGATTATAATTTGTGAGGACAACACCTGCTGTTAGAAAGCAGGAGTCGATCTAATCTTGCAATATGATAGATCTAAGCTAGTAATCTCACCCAAAAGTAATTTCTTCCAAACAAAACTATCTACCTTCAAAACAGCATCCGCCCCATAAGGAGATCGCAATTTCCCATAATACTGGCAGGAAAGTTTAAGTAGTGAGAGAAGCAGCTTCGAAACTTCAGATTGCCTGTAATCCATATCAGAATTGGACTCGGCTATTCTTTCATCAATCCACTTGTTCAAATCTCTACTTCCAACACTTCCACCGCTTAGAGGACCTGGAACACATCGCTGAGAGACAGCTTGGAAATAACTGCAAGCACCCAATCTCTGGTCGAAGGCATCGTGCTTTTGATTGATTACTTCTGATAAGTTTAGTACTGATATTGAGCTTCCTGTGTGATTCTTCAATACAAGAAAAGGAATTTTAAGAAAAAAAGGAACAACTTTTTAGCATATAGCATAAATTTATATACTAACTTACAACGAGGGGATCCAAATACAAACCTGACTTCCAGAGTAAATATTTTCAGGAGAGCTACTGTCTTTCAGCACAATTAGCTTTCCACCAAAACCAAACGTAACCAATGCATGCGCAGGGCGACCTGCAGATGACCTCCCAGAAGCAACAGCAGCATAGGAAATATGAGACTGAGATATTTGTGATGGTTTCGTAGAAAAGTCAACTGAATTCTGATTGATGGAGTAGTCCCGTGCTACATGAATTGGGTCATGTTGATTGGTTCCAGGAAGCATTGGGAAGGTATTCAAATTTTGACCAAAATTTCTATTATATCCGCCCATAACCTCATGATGAACAGTATTTTGTCCATTTTCCGCACCTGTTGAAACATTTTGCTCATAGGTATGTTCCATAAACTGACTCCCACTGTTCTGAAAAGTAGCAGCACCAGAAGAATTGTTAGGTTGCCACATGGTTGAATTCTCAGAACCATAGTAGTTGACAGGTTGAGTCCATCCTTGATCTTGGACTTGGTTGCTGACGCCTTGAGTGTCGTAGAAATTACCTTGATTATATGCAATGTAGGTCTGCTGATTGTACTCCATCTGTTCCTGAACTTGAGCTGTAGAAGAGACAGATTCGGTGTACGATTCCAAAGGCTTCCATTCCTGCGCAATTGAATCATAATACCAGCCCGGGTACTGAGGATCAAACAAAATATGAGGTGGGTAAACACTGTTCACTTGTGAAGACTGATCCCAGTCTGATGGAATCACAGCCGTAGGATCATCCGGTTGAGATATCTGATTCCAATTTGTCGTCTCAGCCTCAATTCCAGGAGTAGATTCATCAGTTTTCATCATATAAGAGACCTTTTCTGTCTCATGAACACTCGTTAGCACATTTTCAACGGCTTCATTTCCATCAACCGGATACCACTGCTCGGAAATTGGATCATACTTCCAGCCTGGATACTGATTCCAGTACTGAGCATCATTAGGATCATAATTAGGGTATTTAATATCGGGAGTCCCATTTTCCCCCCAATCAGAAACTTTCTGCCTGCTCTTCAAACTATCCCCGGCTGCATTTCCAACTGCGCTACCTCCATTGCCACCATCTCCTATTTCACTGAAAAAATCGGAGTACGATCCAAAACCATTATCGCCATTGTCAAATGAATCAGCATGAAATGAATTCCATCCCACTTCTTTAACTCCTGGCGACTCCGAATCACCGCCGCTCTTACTCAACAAAGCTGTATCAGAACTATCCACGCTACTGCTCTGACTCTCGACTGCCGTACTATCAGATGGCTCAAAACTAGCCTTTCCAACCACATTCGTATCAGTTAAACCGTCGCCGCTCGCAGATGATGAATCAGCTAACACTTGGGCAATCGCAACCTCATTTTTCGATTGAATTGCCAATTTATCGATTTCAGTCAAATCCAACGAGTTTCCATTTTTCTCAAAAACTCCAAAACCACTTATCTGCTCAACATTCTTAGTTTGTGCGCCAAAATCATTGTCGGTTCTACTAATGCCATCATCATTATCCACAAGTTCGTTGATACCCAGATTGGCAAACGCCTTAGCATCATCAGATTCATTCCCATCCGACAGCAATGGCGCCTTAGACGCTTCTCTAGTCAGCTTGAAGTCAACGTCGTCATCGTCATTCACTAATTTATCGAAAAAATCCTCATCCGTATTATCCTCCACCAGGAACGAAGGAGGATTCGAAGCCATCTACTCAAGCAGTCGCCTTAAACCCGAAATACTCCCAAACGAACTGCACAGCAACCAAATTCCAAAACCCTAATATTTCCCGACCAATCCACACTCAGATCCAACAACAAACTCACCCAATCAATCCCAAAAAGCCCTACAAAGATCCAAAATCCATAAGAATTATCGAAATTCAACCTAATTAACAAAAGGAGGAAAGCAACCAAATATAACCCTCCCAAACGCCGGAATTGCAATTCACTTAACAGACAAGCAAAGGATCCAATAAAAAAAAAAACAATCCAGAATTAGCAAAAGGGAAGAAATTACCCAACTTACAGATCAAATCAAGATGAAACTTGGGGAATCATCGAATCATTCAATACAGCTGCATGGAGAGAGAGAGAGAGAGAGAGAGAGAGAGAGAGAGAGAATATGTGCAGTAGTGAGTAGAAGAGAAGAGAAGAGAAGACAGGCCCTGGATCTCGCAACTGAGGTCCCAGACGGATTGCAAACCACCGAATACTCGCCTCTGACCGTAGAGTAAATATTTCAACCTAATTATATATATAAATATATATTAATATTAATATTAATATTATATTTAATAAGCCTTTTCACTTTACCGGACTTTGGTTTGACTTTTCACAAGGCTAATCCAATATATTGTACATATATATATATATATATAATATTATTTTATTCAGCTAAATATCACATCGTGTGTTTGATATATTGCGTGAATTTATTGGTGTTTTAAATTTTATTTTATTTAGATTATTGTAGTGTCCAATGTAATATCATGCGAATTTTCAAAAATAATTATAAATAATACAAAATACTTTTTTTACAAAAATTAAAAGTAAAAAACTTTTAAATATTTATTATAAAAAATAATATATTTTATATTTTTAACATATTTCTGTATACCAAAATATAAAAAATTAATTCATCTGAAAATAACGGAGTCAATATATGTTATGTATATGATTAATAAGTATTGTCCATGATGTTTTAGTAAAGTGATACTTCCTCCGTCCACAGATTAATATTCTATTTTTTTATTTGGGACGTTCAACAACTATTGTCTTATTTCCTTCTTTTTAAATACAAATTTTACATTTTTATCCTTAATTCATTTATTACTTTTAATCTCTATTATACAATTAACAGTAAATTTGTCAATTCATAACAAAAAGACAATCACCTAAAAAAACAGTGCAAATATACTTTACGACAATAGAAATTGGACGGATATATGCCAACAATAGTATATATTGTATGTACTATCATCATAAATTGTTAACACATGTTTTATTCCCTCTTGATCTAATTATTTTATTTAGGTTAGACACGGACTTTTAGGTATTATGTAATTAAAAATGTATTAATAAAATAATTATGATTTAATCAAAATATTTATAGATTATAATTAAAATGACAAAATAGTTTAATCAAAATATAAAAAAATTATAAATTATTAATTTTAAAATGTGATTAAAATGTATAATTATATTTTTTGAAAAAAAAAATAATAAATTATATGGGACTGACAAAATAAAAATAGTGGACAAATTAAGTGAAAATGAGAGAGTATATATTATCTTAACATAAATTCTATGTTAATTGTATTTATGTGACATTGAGATTAATATAATATGTATTTTTAATAATATTATTCAATTGGTATGTTATACTTTATAGTACTATTATATAGTAAGTTTATAATTAGTAAAATAAAATAATATGCGTGAAAAATTAAAAATGGCAGAATAATATTTTTTGTGTTAAGTATTTTACTAATTAATTGGGAATGTTTCAAAATTTTTGAATATTTTCTTTATTTACAACTTTCTTAATTGTTTGGGTAAGTCATTTTCTTTCCCGGGGTTTGGTTTTTAATTTTTTTTTTTAGATTTGATTTTTTTATTCGATTTTTTAATGGTTAAATTTTAAATTTGAATAACTATTTAATATCATATAAATATAAATTTTGAATATAAAATTAATTTTTAGTAAAAATATATAAATAAAAAATAATTATTTAATTTAATACTCCCTCCGTCCACTCATAAAGTATACAACACGGTTTAAAAAATAATAATATTTTAATTATAGTTGGTAGTTAAAATTAGTGTAATAACATTTTTTCTCTTGCTTTTTGGTGTAAAAGTAACGATGTGATGCAGTAAGTATTTGTGGAAAAAAGGTAAGATATTTTTGTAATTGGACGTTGTAAAATAGAAATATGTATACTTTCTCATGATGGGGTGAGTATTTTTTAAAAAAATAATAAAAATGTTGTAAAAAATTCCTAAAAGAACACAACTATTTTTTTAAAAAATAAAAATAGAATGAATGTTACCATTAAACTAAAGGAATTTAGGGTATGTTTCTTTAGATTTGTGATAAATTTGATTTGAATTTAGTATTAAAATAATGTATAATGAAATGTTTTAAATTATATAACATAACCTTGTTTTTATTAGTAAAAATATACATTGTGTTGAGATCTTTTTTTTGTTAAATTAAAATTTGTAAAAAACATCGTATTTGTCAAAATTAATATTTAGTTGTCAATATATACTTATTTATACAAATAAAAGGTAAATATACTAAAAAAAAATTGAATAAATAAATAAATAATTGATTAATATATATATATATTTAGTTTTTTTCTTTATGACAAGCTATTATTGGTTTATACAAAATTTATAAAAATAAATAATTGATCAATTATTGATTTATATAATTATTATTCAAAAAGATTATTTAATATATTTATCATTTTTATCTGTACCAACTTTGTATAATTAGGTCTATAATTACAATAAAAAGCAGTTTTGAACACAAAAAATTATACGGCAATAAATAAATAAATATTATATATTTTGTGCATTTTACTAAATCAATAACGTGTTATATAATTTAGGTTTTTATATATTTTGTGCATTTTACTAAATCAATAACGTGTTATATAATTTAGGTTTTTTTTTTTTTTCATCCCGGTGTAGGCTTTGGCTTGATATGCACTTAAAATTGTGTATCATTTCTTTTAAAACAATATCAATCTTCATTTTAAAAAATTGCAATTCATGTTTAATTAATGTATTCTCAATCTTCGCCCGGCCTTTCAAATTGTCTCAATCGATCGATCCAACAATTAAAAATCAAATCTTGTAGTCCCGTAAAAAATGATTCAGTGTCGTAGGATTGGATCTATAACTATGAGGTCATGTGTGATTTGAACCCCCGACGCCTATAGATCACCTATCACACATGGTTCGTCTAGTATGACTTACCTTATCGAGCCTAGTTTACAGGATATTAAGTTCGATCGAGAGTTTACATTTTCATGTCGTAAAAAAAAAATTAAAAAAATCAAATCTTGTAACCAAATGCAAAGGCTAATTTATCCGTTAACATAAGCACAACTACACTTTCATTTACAAGTTCTCGACGACAATTCTACAAAGACATAATGTCCTGCTCACAATTAAAAGACTTAAGAAGATACATACATAAACACCAGAGGATCAATAAATTGAATTTCATTTCGAAAATGTAACATAAATTTCTTCCTTTTTTTTGAACCATATAGTATATATATATATATATATATATAGCACGAAAGAATGTCGAAGAAGTTACAATATCTATAAGGCGAGAATGATAATGGTAATGCTGCAGCTGAGCAGCAGGTAAAACCAGGATGGCCTCTCAGAACAAAATTTCCTGGAATTTCCCAATCCATTCACATTCAAAATCATATCGATGAATAATCCCATTGCGCCCAACACCCAAAAACCTGCCGACACAAGAAAGATAACGATCCCTTTATTTTCCAAATGTAACTGATTCTGTCGAACCTTTTCAACCTCCAATCTGCATAGTAAACAATAAATAATCAGTTGAGTAGAATGTTAAGCTTGACATAAACACAATTTCCCCGAGTAAGAAATTTCGGGTTTGTTCACTTTGTTATTTTCAACGGAATAATTCTCCATAAATATTATCAAAAAAATATTCTCCTTCCGTCCACTTTAAAGGTTTACATTTATTTTTTAAGCGTTGATATTTAAATATTAACTATTATATCAAAACATAATACAAATATAATGATATTTTTAATGTTAAGTATAATGACGCAAAAGATAAATGTAAACTTTCAAAGTGGACAAAGGGAGTATTATACGACACTAACAAAATATATATATATAATATAAATATACACTTTATCTGTTCACAAAAAATCAATTCAATATAAAATATTATTTTTTATATTTCCGTCACATCTACCTAAAAACACAAAATGAACACACCATTCATTTCAACATAATATATACACACGGTTTTATTCAACAAATTTTTATTAATAGCAAATAATTACTTTCTTCTATTATAAAGATCACCACAAGTATATAGATAATGCATTATTCACCGAAGTATATGAAGCCGTATAACGTGAAAAGGATTGAGAATTAAGGCAAACCTTAGGATCGCATTTTCTTTGATTATACTGTCCAATTGCGACGAAACATGAGATTTCCATGACACAAGATCGTCAATCCTTGTATTCTGTAAGCATTGCAAAGTTAGATGACAGTAAAATTTGCATTAACCGAACAAAAAAAAGTTGCAAAAAAAGAATTACAAACCGTGCCCTCTCTGCTTTCAGATAAACTCCGAATATCCGACGCAATCTTCTCCAAGAGCGCGCCTTTATCCCCGACATCCTTTTCAAATTCTTTAAACATATCACCATAACGGGAATTCAATTCCTCTAAGTATTGCTCAACAATAGCCAAATTCATATCCAATGATCGTACTTTTGTCATTAAAATCTTAAGAACACTATCTCCCGGCATCCTATTAAATTGTCGGTGACGGACACCTTCAACTGGATCGAGCGCATCGGCTTCCAGTCGTATCCTATTGGCATCAGAGTTTCCAATTGTGTTGTCTTCTTCCTCGACTGAAAATTCAATACCGTCCCCTTCATTCGGCGCTTGATGTTTCGGATTAGACTTCTTCTCATCTGACAATTCTCCGGACGCTGACGGCTTATCTTGAACTGAAATCAGATCCTCGAGCATTTTCTCAACAGCATCTACGCCGTACACTTCGAGAACACTCAAAGTACAATAGAATTCTGAGCCGTGATGGCTCAGAAGATTCAATTTAAGATATCTCACCCATTTCGGTTCGGGAAGAACAAATCTTTGGGTATGCTTCACATTTGCAGCCGTAAAATTTCCAAGTTTGACCCACGAATCAGTCGGATAAAAGGGACTGCCTAATAACTCAAAATCTTTCAAATTCGACGAATGGTGCTCGAAATTAGCTATTTCTATAGCATCCACCAATGTTTCTTCAGAAAGTTCTATGACGACAAACTTTTCTTCAGTTGAGCAAGGATTTCGGAGATACTTGTCTTTATCTCTGTTTAATATGTTAGACGCCCCCTTGGCTTCCTTATTGTAATTCAAAATTTTTGCGCCTTTTGAAGCCGACGCGTAATTGTATTCTGCCCCGCCAGGCTCGACTCTATGTATGATACTTCCATCCTGACCAGTTTGATACGTGCTTCTCGAACTAAACGCTTTATTTTTGAATTCATCGAGACCTGGAGGTACTCCATTTGATGACAACCTGTCCATTTTCGACTCTTCCAAATTGGCGGGTGGATTTCTCTTTGACTTAGCCTCCTCTACAGTATCATATTCAGATTTTATTTCTGCAACACTAAAATCAGTTTCATGAGTATGCAGAGATGAGTCGGCATAGGGACCTTTAGCTTCAACGCCAACTCCTTCTGATGGATGATTTCTGTCGACCGACAATTCAGAATTTGCACCTTCATCAGGTGAAACTTGCTCTTTATCCCATCTTGTTGTATTAACGGAATATTCTTCATGCTTGTCTACATCCCGAAAAAATATATAAATAAGAAAGGTAAAGTGAAAAAATATATAAATAAGAAAGGTAAAGTCCAGCTTGAAATGAGAATTAAACACACAATTTGTAATTTGATAACGACAAATATATGCTGACGGGATTTCAAATTTGAGTTTTGAATAGTTAAATTTTCAATTGGAATAACTCTTTGATGCGGTATATCTGATGTGATATAAATAGATGTTGATTGAATATTTTAAATGTAAAATTAATTTTTAATAGTATAATATAAAAAATAAGTGTATGATACAATATTTTTTAATGAAATTTTTTGGATAAATAGTATAAATCCTCCAAAATCCTCCAAACAACACATCCTTAAGCAAATCTAAAAAAATATCATTACAACAAACACATCAATTATATCAATCGCTCAGACATATCGAATACACAAGATACACAAAGCACAGTCAATCAGTCACTAATCAAACACTTCACAACAACTCTAAGCAACAAATGCAGTTGTAAGCTATATTTTAAAGAATTGCCTACTCGATTAGGTTGAAATCACAAGGTAGCTTACAAGAATAGCCCGGTGAAAGAGATTTTTATATAAAAGAGGTGTGTTCTAAGATTTTGTTGATTTTTAAGCGAAATAGTTGTTGGATGCAAATGTTTTATACAAAAAAATAAGTACACTTTTATAAAAAGCTGTGAAATTGCACAGTAAAAAATTGGAAAAAGAACTCAAAAGAGATTAATCAATAATCTAGAAAGTTAAAATAGCAACCTAACCTTTCTGACCATTACCATAGCCGATCCAGGTATTCAAAAGAAACACAAGGCCCCATAGAACGACGACGACTGAAAGAGAGACCTTATACAGGTGTTTCCTCCCCGAAATAACCTCTTCCAAAGCTCTTCTTTTTAGAAGAGCTTTGCGTGATCTCTGCATGGCGCATCAATCTTAACTCACTGCATATCACAAACTGCGTAAGCAACGCCAAAATGGACTAAATCATGTAGTACAAATGTAAATTTGAAAATCCTTTCTGACATATTTATAAAGGGTGTGTTCGTTTACCAAATTTTTACAAATGTCTACTATTCATCAATTTTTTTTCCCAAAAATATCAAATCAAACAATTATTTTCACTTTTTATATAATACTAAAGATTAATTTTATATTCAAAATATCACTATCATACAACTATTCAAATTAAAAAATTTTACTGCTCAAATCCAAAGAAGAATTCTCATCCAAAAAACTGTACACACATAATACACACATATACATATATACATAAAAATCTTCTCATGATCAATTAATACATAAGGCCATGATTAAGTGGAAGAACATATCTTCCACCCTAATTCGAAGCATCTAATTTGAGAATAAATTGACATAATTACAGTAGTAGCTAATCGAATTCTGGAGAAACCATCACCATAGTTCCTAAACAAATAAAAGCAGGCGATCAGATAATATATAGTTCAAATTCCATTGCCAGCAGAAAATGAGAGATTAGAACACAACATCAAAACTTAACATAGAAGACTACTACATAAGCATGGAATTGCTTGTGATCAAAGCTGCCAATGTTGTGAAAGTCACCGCAGTGGTTAATTCATGTCCAAAACTACAGATTTATGAAGAGAGTATGATAAGAAAACTGCAGATGTACAGGAGGCTTTCTACATCAAAATTGAATTCAATTTCAATTCTCAAACAGGCTAAGAGGAACTCAAGCTGAATCCCATCCCAAAACACAGCATAATTCCAACAGATCTTGATTACGTCGATTCAAAAAATTGACAGATATTCAATCCAGAAATAAAAAAAAAACAATAATCATCATAATCATAATACGAGTTGAGATCATTCGAAGAGTGGGAAATTGAGGAGCCAACTCACCGAAATTTCGTGATCCGTCAAGGGGTTTGAACGATTGAAAAGTGGCAAGTGCAATAGAATCCAAGAAAGCCTCAGATTCGGCGGATCGAATGCTTTACAGAGAAGGAAAAAGGCAGAGGCAGAGGCATCTTCCCTTTGCTTCAAAATTAAATCGGCAGACAGATAAACGAAGAACCCATTGCTATTACAAGTGGAATTCGAAATTATCGGGACAATCACTCAAAGCAGAGTCGCATGAATGAAGCGACCCACCATTATCAGCGTCAGCAGGTAAAGTAAGGAAGGGCAAAATGGAAATTAAAATTGAAATTGAAATTGAAAAAGAAAAAGAAAAATGGGTTTTCTTGTCATGGGACGCGTAGATCCAGAACAGAATGGCAATGGCAGTCGGGCTCGTATGGGTGCCTTCGACGCCAATCTTTTGTGAACCCACTCTACCGGTTCGACGTGGAAGAATGAATAGAAGACGACAAGCAACTACAGCACAGCAGAATTGTAGACTTTATGCGTGTCCTCCAGCGCTATACAGATCATATATATATATATATATATATTATCACTTTCTTGCAAGGCGTCCATTTAATGTATGATATAGGTTGTATTTTTTAAAAAATGAAAAAATAAATTAATAGTAAAACCAAAAAAATAAAAAAATAAAAAAATAATAATAATAAAATTATTTTTTTAAAAGAAAAATGGGAAGTTCCAAAATATTAGTAAATTTTATTTTACTATTTTTTTTCTTATTTATCTTAAAATTTAAATTTAAATATCAAATTTATAATTTTTTATTTTATATGATTTTATAATATTTTGATTATTTCATTTGTTTACTTAATTTCTGAATATCTATATTTCTTATTTAAATTTTACTTTTTAATTACAAATAATATTGTGATTAATAAAAAAAAAATATATTTTACATTTAAACACATTATATATAATATTTTTCATAATAGCTGTTGCAATAACATAGTTATTGCTTATTTACTTATTTATATGAAAATATTATAGTATATAATAGTATTAACTGATTTTGAAGAATATCTTAAATATTGTGGAGAATATTCTATATTATCATTATTATTTCTTTTATTTACATTTATAAATCTAATAAAATACTATTCAAATAAAGAATAACTTTCATCCAATTGGTTGCTCAACTTTTTTTGTATGAATTTTAATAAAAGTGTAATAATTTGCATTATTTGTTCTTTTTATTGAAAAAATTTACAAGAAAAAAAAGTTATGTAATATTTTACTAAAAAAAGAAAATAAGATGATTTTTTTTAATGATATATCATTTGATATTATATAATTATTGATGATTCTCTATGGTGAAAAAAAAAAAGAAGATTAATACTCTAATTTTGAAGGTTGAAAACAGGGGAAATGAGCTGGTATTAAAAATCTGATAAGGTTATTATCAGGAATTTTGTATATATAGATATACATATATATATATATTTTTTATCAAAATAATATTTTAATGATATGAGAACTGCAATCGGAAATACTCAAGTGAACTTGGCCTGCCGAACCTAGCTAGTGATTGGAATGGTTTTAGAGATTTTCTCTAAATTTTATTATTCATCAACATTTTTCATCAAAAAATATCAAATCAAACATTATTTTTTATTTTCTATATTATACTAAAATCAAATTTACATTCAAATTATTACATCAACACCTATTTATATCATATCATATCACTGTGTAAATTAAAAAATGTTACAGCTCAAATCCAAATTTAAAAATCCAACCCATCTCACAAACACACTGTCAAAGAAAACAAAATATGCATCTTAAATGTTGGCGTGGTGGTGGTGGTCATGAGTTCAAACCTGGTAAAAAAAAAAAATATGCATTTTAAATGTTGGCCTGTAAAAAAAAAAAATATACATACTTATATTGGGCAAGAGCATACTCATCCCTCTCTGTTCCATTGGGATTTTTATTTAATTTTTAAAAAAATATATATAATATATAACAAATTTTGAAATTAATAAAAAAAATAATAGAAATATAAATTTCAAAGTGATGAATTTTTTAATAAGTAATTGTATTAATTTTTATTTTAAAAAATTACAAAAATAAATATTTACCATATATAGTTATTGATATAGTTTTAATTTGTTATTTTATAATAAAATAAAAATAAAAATAAAATTATTATTTTATAAATTATTCCCTCTCCCTCCAAATTTAATTTCATCCTAATTCCGCCACTACCCTAAATTATTTGTAAATGCAATTAATCTATAGGTAACTATAGTAAATAAACACAACGAAAAAAAAAAAAAAAAGAAAAAAAAAAGGGATCTTCCATCATCGGCCCGGAATGCAGAGAGTATGGTTTTCAATATCATATATTTGAAGTGCACAGCCGTTCACGTGTCTGTCCCAAAATTTCCGACCAACCAGGTCTTCTTCTTTGTATTTATAGGGATTCTTTAGGGTTTTTCCCGGACAATCGGCTGCCGTCCGATCTCCCCGGTGGCTGAATGATCTGCGACCGTCGGATCTATCAAAATCGGGGAGATCGATGCATCAAAATGAAGACGAAAAGATTCTTGAAAAAAAATAATGAGTCCATTGAAGAATGCCTAGGGTAAATTCTCTGAACGGATTGGTCGAAAAATTTGTCAGTTAATTTCCATTGAATTTTGATTTTTGTATATATATATATATATAGAGGGTATTTTTCAAATCAGCACACATAAAATACAAAAACACAGGTCTTTGTTTGGCACAGTTTGTAATAAGGACATGTGCTCTTCGTTTATAATTACATATTGTACAAATGTATGTGAGATGCTATTATACCATGAATTGTTAGTTTATGTATTATATTTGTATTATATGAATATAAATGATATATTATAAATACTATTTGCTAGTCATTTGTGTACTGTTCAACACAGTGCTGAATATCAGCCGCCATTTATATATATATATATATATAGAAATTCATATTTATATATAAGAGAATTTTATGTTTTTATTATAATTTTTTGAGACAGTAAACAAATAATCAAAATATTTTTTACATAAAAAAAATATATTTGAATTTTTAGGATAAAATATACCCTAAACTATATATATATATATAAAAGAATAATTGAACAAATTATTAAAAAGAAAGAAATTATTTCATTTAAATTATAAAAAATACTTTTTTAAATAACACGGTGATTAACTTAAGAGATATGTTTGACCCAATATTTTTTGTTGTTTTCTTTTAATTAAAATTATAATTCACATTTCTTGCACATATATATAAGTAAAAATATGTTGTATATATTACAAAGTGTTACAGTCAGTTTTAAAGAAAATATTATTTTTCAGAAATTGTGAGACCAATTAATGGACTCAAAAGTTTTCGAACTTTTTTAATTAAAAAAATTAATATAAATAATAAAGTTTCGGAAATTTCAAAACAATTTTTTTAATTAAAGAAATAATATATATAATAAAGTTTCAGAAATTTTGAGGCCAATTAATGGACTCGAAAATTTTCGAACTTTTTTAACTAAAAAAATTAATATAAATAATAAAGCTTCGGAAATTTCTAGACTATTTAAATTAGATTCGGAAAATCCGAACTTTATATTAATAGTTAAGGAATGGCTTCGGATATTCTGTGTCTTATAAATCAAATAATATTATATAAAAAAATTCTCGAAACTTTCGAAACAATTGAAATAAAAATTAATTAATATTATTTATATTTTGTTTAGCAGTATCGGAATTAATTCCGAAGCTTTTTTCGAGGCCTATTTCCAAAATTCTGGCAGTCCAAGTTCTTACTAAACAGCCATGTATTCGATCGTCATCTCCATATCTTCCATTTAGGGTTTCCTGAAACGTTGGCCAGCAACTAGACGGCGTCGTTTCAACAATTAATTTCTCTCTCTCTCTCTCTCTCTCTATATATATATATATGTATAAAGATACTTGGCCTAAATACTGATCTTTTATAGTGATGTAATAAAATCATCAGCCCTATCTGCAAGAAATTCCACTGACAAATTTAAATATCGATCCAATTCTGAAGTACAAAATGACGAAGAACTGGATAAGAAAAATGGATAGTGTCATTACCTATAATCCAATTACATACATACATACAAATATATATATATATATATATTATAAATTGATATTGCAATCAACATAAAATAATATGAACCAAACTTAAATCAAATTGTGAAAAAAACAAACATCAAACAAAATTTAAAAATGGCAGTAAATTAATTAATTAAATATTAAAGTGCCATAACTGAAAGAGCGTGAAAATTCTCTTGGTCGGCGGCGGTGGCGCGTGCGTGATTGATCCTCTGAGAAAGCAGCCGGAAAACCCTCTGCCACCGCAGGGTTAGGGTTCCGGCGGCTTCTCCGTCGAGCAACAGGTGGCGCAGCTGGAAGCACAAGTGGCGGAGGACGTGTTCCAGATCTGCCCACGTTTCCTGAATCGGATGCAAACTCAGTAAAATTTTTAGCAGGAAAGGCCACAGCAATGACGTCAGCAGCGGACTCAGGCCCCCGTGAATCATCAGACTAAGCTTCGCCGCCGCCGCCGCTGCCGCCGCCACCGGAAAACCCATTTTTGTATGTTGGATTCGTGGAAAGAAAATTAGAGTGGTTTCTTTGTGCGGGAGGCAGTAGAAGGACTGGATTCAATACATAAAAATGTATTTTATTGTCGTCACAGTGTTAGTTAGGGTGTGTTTGTTTTGTGTTTTGATTTGAAAGAATAAGTTTTGTTTTTTTTTTTTTTTCACAGAGTTTAAGGTATATTAATACTGCGTTGATATAAAAGTAATAATATTTATGTAATATATAAAAGTAATAATATTTATGTAATATATTGTAAGTTGTAAGAGTATTTGTAATGTTAAGAAGATAATACAATTACTAAAAAAATAGATATTTTGTTATAGGAAGAACCAAAATAAAAAAATAGATAATTTGTTAAAGAAACGATGAAGTGTTTTTTTTTTATGTAAAATATAAAAAATTGTATAAATAATATAAAAATTATAAGTGTGAGAAGTATATTAGTTTTTTAGGAAATATGTTGAAAATTTTTGGGTAAAAGAACAAAATATCCTCTCTCTCTCTCATATATACTGCTGTATTTGAAACAGTATCATCTGTTTGTTTTGGGGATTAAATTTTAAATACATTATTCATTCTATTTTTTTTCCTTAAAAATATCAAATCAAATACTTATTTTTTATTTTTTATATTATACTAAAAATCAATTTTACATTCAAAACATCACATCAACACTTATTTATATCACATCATACAACTATTCAAATTCAAATTTTTTACTATTAAAATCTCAATTCAAAATTCAAACCCCAAACAAACACATAGCTAGTTTTTATTTTTTCAAAAAATATCAAATGAAACAGTTATTTTTTATATTATATTAATAAATAAT